CTAAAATATATAGAGAACTGAGTCAAGTTTATAAGAATACAAGCCATTCCCCAATTGATAAATGGTCAAAGGATACAAACAGGTAGTTTTCAGATGAAGAAATTAAAGCTATCTCTAGTCATAAGAAAAAAAAATGCTCTCAATCACTATTGATTAGAGAAATTCAAAGTTAAACAATTCTGAGGTACCATATTACACCTATCAGATTGTCTAACATGACAAAACAGGAAAATGATAAATATCGAAGAAGATGTGGAAAAATTGGAACACTAAATGTATTATTGGTAGAGTTGTGAACTGATGCAACCATTCTGGAGAGTAATTTGGAATATGACCAAAGGGCTATAAAATGTGCACACCCTTTGATCCTGCAATACTATTACTAGGTCTGTGTCCCAAAGAGATCATAAAAATGGGGGAAAGACTCACATGTACAAAAATATTTATAGCAGCTCTTTTGTGGTGGCCAAGAATTGGAAACTGAGGGATTGCCCATCAATTGGGGAACGGCTAAACAAGTTGTGGTATATGAATGCAATGGAATACTATTGTGCTATAAGAAATTATGAACAGGCATACTTCAGAAAAACCTGGAAATACTTGCATAAACTGATGGTGAGTAAAGTGAGCAGAACCAGGAGAATATTGTACACAGTAACAGCAATATTATGTGATGACCGACTTTGTTATACTTAGCTCTTCTCAGCAATTAAATGATCTTTCTATGATCATTACAAAAGACTCACAATGGAAAATGCTATCCACATCCAGAGAAAGAACTATGGAGTGTAAACGCAGATTGAAGCATACTGTTTTCTCTTTTTTGTTTTTTTCCCTTTTGTGCTGATTCTTCTTTCACAACATTACTAATGTGGAAATATGTTCAATGTGATTGTACATGTATAACTTATGTCAGATTGCATGCCATCTTGGGGAGGGAGGAAGGGCAAGAGGGGAAAATCTAGAACTCAAAATCTTACAAAAGCGAATGTTGAAAACTAAAAAATATATAAATATTTTCAAATGAAAAAAATGGGGAGCCATTGAAAGTTTGTGAGCAGGGAAGTAACTTAAAATTATTTTCTTAGTACTATTAATCTTGTTATAGTTTGCAGTACAGATGTGAGAAAGAAAGAAATTTGAGAAAGTGAAGTGAATTATTAGGCAATTGCAAAAGTGGAGGTGTGATATGATTAGAGCTTACTTTCATATAGTACCAGTGGGTATGGACATGATCAGGAAGAAAATCAGATCTTTGTATGCTAAACATTTGGACTTTAAGTAAGTCTCTTGTGGTTTATTTAAAGGCAAGAACTCCCAATTGTACAACAGATATTTTACTTCACCTTAAGAATAACCCAGTAAAGGAACATATGTGTGTTTTTGCCAGTTCTCCGTAAATCTTTTATTCCTAACACATGAGCCAGAGAGCAAAGTACTATGTTTATAAAATGTACATAACATTGCACTTAGATAACTCTCTAGTAGTTGATTTATGCTTCTCTGAATAATGTACCTTCTGAAGATTAGAAGAGACAAAATAAAGGGGAAAATCAAGAAAAGGATTTGCCTTGGTGAGGTAGCTGTTCAACATGTTTCCTGTTACTATTTTCAGGTACTATTTTTATGGTTTAATTATATCTTCCTGCCAAAATTCATTACAGAAAAACCTGGCATGGTGGAAAAGAAAATAATAAACTCAGTTCATTCATAATTTATTGATTATTTTACTCTTAAGCAACTGGAATGCAATTTCCTTCTTTTTCTGGGGAAGGTGAGGGGGAAAATAAGATAAAACCAGTAAAAGGTGGAAGGGTAGCCACTTTCAATAATTTTTTTTTCAAGTAGAGAGGGTATAAATAAATTAGTTCATTTAAAAAGTAGAGAATACAACATATCTAACCTGACTTCCAAAATGTCGACTACTCAGCCTCATTTTAAGTCCTGTTAAGCATTCATATGTTTAGAAAGGATGACAGCTAAAACAGAAATAGGTTTGAACATCATTATTGCCATTTTTCAGATGAAGAACTTGAGTGACTTTTCAGGCTCAAAGAGCTATTAAGTGTCATACATATTCAGAGCTAGCTTCCTTTCACTACACTACTCAACTTCTCAATATCATTTATATGTTTTTTTTTTCATTTTTAAAGCTGTACAATAGCTTTTTTTTTTTCAGAGGGAGTGGTGAAGCAATTGGGGTTAAGTGACTTGCCCAGGGTCACACACCTAGTAAGTATCATGTGTCTGAGGCCACATTTGAACTCAGGTCTTCGTGACTCCAGGGCTGGTGCTCTATCCACTGTGCCACCTAGCTGTCCCTGTACAGCAGTTTCTTAAAGGGCGGTAAAGAGGCTAGAACTTGTACATCAAGAAAAATGCCTCCTAGGAACAATCTGTGGATCTTCTGGCTCTCCCACAAGGACTCTCTATGGAAAGAGACATGGCCTTTCTTCCCCAAATCGGAAATTACAGAATTTCTGAGTTGGAAGACATCTCAGAGGCCATCTAGACAAACTTTTGCCACAGCAAGAATCTTCTTACGATAAGGCTGATGAGCTCACAAGAAAGGGAACCCACTTCTCCTTGAGGCAGCTCACTCCACTTTTGGAGAGCTGTCATTGTTAAGATGGGTTTCCTTAATCAAATCTCTATATGGCTCTCTACTCTTTTTTGGTCAATAAACAAGCATTTATTGAGTGCCTACTATGTGCCACTGTGGTAAGCAGTAGAAATTTTGATCCATTGCTCCTAGTTCTGCCTTTTCATGTCAGGCAGAACTCTTGATCCCAGAGATGTCACAAGTGATAGGGCACTGGGCCAGTAGTCAGGCAGCCTCAAGTTCAAATTTGGCCTCAGACACTCACAGAGCTGTATGACCCTGGGCAAGTCACTTAACTTCTCTCCATTTCAGCTTCCCCATTTATAAAACAAGGATAATGAGAATACCTACCTCACAGGGTTGTTGTGAGGATCAAATGAAATAACATATGTGGTTCTTCATAGACCTTGAAGTGATATATAAATGTTATCATTATTATTATCATTATTTGATAGACCGTCAAATACATGAAGACAGCTATCTATCATGGTCATTCTGAATCTTCTGTAAACATCTCTATTTCCTTCACTTGATCTATGAGATGAACTTGAGGTCATTAACCATCCTAAATGTCATCCTCTAGTATCCTCCAAATACTGCCCTTTCCATCGCCCCTTCTCTTTCTTTCATCTTCCTCTTTAGTGAGGTACATGTAGAGCATATATCTTAACATGTTCCCACAGAGTTTGAGTTTATAAATTTCTTTCATAAAATGTGATGCCCAGAACTGAAGACAATACTCTCTGTGTGATCGTTCCAAGACTGAGTACAGACAGACTGTCACTTCATTTCAATACCAACCAATATTAGATTAGCTTTTGGGGTCTGTCCTATCTTAATAATGGTTTGTATGAAGCTTGCAGTCCACTAAAATGCCTATATCTTCTTCAGAAAAAAAAATTATATCTAAGCCTGCCTCTCTTATCTTGTATTTTTGAACCTTAATAAGATTTTATATGTATTCATATTAAATTTCATCAAATTAGATTCTGCCTAACATTCTAGCCTATTTAAATCTTAATTTTGAATGCTGACTCCATCATCCATGGTTAGCTATCCCTCCTAACTTTGTGGCATGTCCTCAACACCCTTATCCAAGGCATTCATTAAAAAATGTTAAAAAGAACAGGACAAAGTTAAGATTCTGGGGGGCCTCCAGCAGAGAGCTCTACCAAAGACTTTCTCCCAAGGTTACATTACCTTCCCTTATGCAGGGCCATTTGACCAGTTCCATATCTACCCCACTGTCAAGTAGCCCATATCTATCCATCTGGTCACAAGAAGAGCATGAGGGACTTGCTTAAGTGCTTCCCTAAAATGTAGGTAAAACTCGATCAATTGTATTCTCTTGATCTACCAGCCTAGTAATTCTACCAGAAAAGGACATGAAGTCATCCGTCCTAACCTGTCCTTAATAAAACCATGCTGGCTCTTTGTGATCAATGCTGCTTTTTCTGGATGGCCATTAACTGTTCTCTAATGATACATCCTAGAATTTTACCTAAAATTGAATTCAAATAAATTGGCAAATAGTTTGCAGACTTCATTCTTCCCTTTTTTGGAAAATTAAGACATCTGTCCTTTTTTAGTACTGTGGAACCTCTACTGTTCTCCAAGGTCCTTTAAAGAATCCTGACTGTAGCTCAGCACTCTCCTTCAGCAATTGTCTCAGGACCTGGGATTTGGCTTACTGAGGCCTGGTGACGTGAACATGAGTGTTCAGTCTTTTCAGTCATGTCTGACTCTCTGTGACCTCATTTAGGGTTTTCTTGGTAAAGATACTGGAGTAGTTTGCCATTTCCTTCTCCAGCTCATTTTACAGGTGAGGAAACTGAGGCAAACAAAGTTAAGTGACTTGCCCAGAGTCCCCCAACTGGTAAGTGTTTGAGGTCACATTTGACCTCAAGAAGGTGATTCTCCCTGACTTCCGGCCTGTCACCCTATCTACTGTGCCACCTAGCTGCCAGAGCACTCATATATGGTGTAGTAAAAACAACAAATGCTTATTGACTGACTGAAATAGGTAGCTCTATATATGTATGATCCTGTGTGTGTGTACATATGTGTGTGTTGGGTGTGGAGGATGGAATTTGTAGCCTGTGATTCACAAACTTTTACTTCTTATAATTTCCAAAATAAATGTGTAAAGGAAGAAGTCAATCAGCATGCACCATTTCTACCTAGTGCTAGGGACCATCGCAGGTACAGGGAATACAAAGCCAATAAATATTTCCATCTTAAATAGGGAGACAATACATACAAACAGGTATAAACAGAATAGATACAAGGTAATCGGCAAGGGTGGGGAGAAGGGTTATCAGGGAGGTCAGGGAAGTAGAAGTTTCATCCATAAGGTGTATTTAAGTGGAACTTTGAAATAAACTAGGCCTTCTAAGAGATGGATATAAGAAGGGACTACATTCCAGACATGGAAGACAGTCAATGCAAAGGCATGGGCATTGGAAATAGCATCACATCGGCTGGCTGCATAATGGTAAGGGTACTTTGGACAGACTGCAGTGGGTGTGTGTGAAAGTGAGTAACATGGAATGAAAGTAGAAAGGTGGGTTGGAACTAGGTTGTGAAGAGCTTTCCATGCCAGAGGAGTATATGTTTGATGCTTGAAGTAACAAAATGGAGTTTATTTAGTGTCAGAGTAACACGGAAAGGTCTGTGCAAAGCAGGGAAAGAAAATCATTTTGCCAACTGTATAGAGGATAAATTAATGTGGAGAGAAACTAGAGGCATGGAGACCAATTCACAGACTGTTGCAATAGTCCGGGCAAGAGGTGATAGGAGCCTGAATCAAAGCAACAGTTATGTGAATGGAAAGAAAAATACAGATTTAAGAGATGCAGAGGTAGAAACAACACTTTTTTGGTAACTCATAGGACATGCAAGGTGTCATATTTTTATTTTAAATCTGTAACCCAGGGAACAGGATTCCTTGTCCCTGAGGCTCTTAGCTCCCAAAGACCAGGTCCAATCCTAGGGATTGACTGAAGATTTGGCTTGATGCTGCCACTGAGGTTGCTTCAGGAAGTATGGATTAATGGCATAGCTCCTGTCTAGGTTTCCCAAAGGTGGGTAGCAGGATTCACAGCTCCAGTATAAGCATTTAAGGAAACGATATGGGTATCAGATCTGGGACAATCTGTTTCATAGAAAATGCAAGTGACCATAAACAGACAGAGAACACAGAAATCACTGAAAATAGCTAATCAACACTCCTTATACGTATGTTCCAGAAGGGAACTGAACTTGGAGGTTCCTTTTGACATTCTTGTGGATCTCTAATCCTCCAATAGGGTCCAACAAAGTCTTTTCTAGAGTTTTAGTGTCACCTTATATTTTAGAATCTTCCCAGAAGGCCAAGAACAAATAGCCTCCTACCATTTGGAACTATAGTGTCTCAACAAAAACTCATTGGCTTTGCTTTCCAAGTAGATACTACTAAGGAAATACGCAGGCTTTCACCCATGTCTTCTTTCTCTGAAGAGCAAACTGCATGAACAATTCTTTTTTTATCTTTAGAAGTTTTGCTGCCCATAATCTCAAACTTTGGAATTCCCAAACTTGGAAATTCTCAAACATAATGAACTTCTCCCTCTCATCCCCAGCCCCCAGATCCAGTCTGCTTTGCTTCACAACTTGGTCTGTCTTCTGCACAGATGGAGGCAAAAAGAAAATTCAAGGAACAAGTTGGTCAGTCAGTTTGGTTTTACAGCTCACAGAGAGTGGTAACCCCTTTGACAAAAGTTCATCGCTCTGAGTCCCAGTCAGCTAATCACTACAATTTTCCCTGGGTCCCTTCAGCAAGACTTCATTGGGCATTGCCACACTCATATAGGCAGGTGGCCTATACTCCCAAAGGTTAATGCCCTACAATCTCATCAAGCTGATTGAGCAACTGATAAAATTGATCAGGGAATTCATCCAATTGATCTTCTGTATTTGTATTCGATTTAAGCTGTCATCGTTTTAGCCAAACCCAATCTTACACATCTGAACTGATTTTACTTGACTGGACAAATAAATCACCATCTGCACTCTAATCTATCACAAATGCATTCAGAATGTATTTACTAGTTCTACTTCCTTTAATCCATCTCATTTTCCCTTAACTTCCTTCATCTTGGTCAAGGAAGGTGATCTAATTATATCTCTTATTAAATGTTGTACTGTGTTGGCTTCTGGCTCTTTCAGTGCCCTTGCCAATTGAAAATGATTGACATTAGTAATAACTCTTAGTGGCTACTCCCTAGACTGTCACAGCATGTGGAGATGACCCAGAGATAACCATCCAATGTTTTCAGACCTGTAAAGAAGCACAAATATACCCATATTCCTAGCAGCAATAAGAACATGTTCTCTGTTGATTTGAAATAAATGTAAAAGCTGATAACACTGTAATAAAATAATAATGACAGCCTCAAATCATTTATCATTGAGCAATCACACCCTTGTCACCTGTATGATCTATGCTATAAAGCTTAAACCAATGAATGGCTTGAGGAGAAAGATTCTGGGTAATTTTAATCTGGGAGCTGTGATCTCATTTTTTTTTTGTTAGGGTTAAAGTTATTATAAGAGATGAAGATGTTAGAGAGTGTATCAAAAGAAAAACAAAGCTAATTTTTGAACTCTGCCCACCATGCTCTTGTATACTGGAACCCATGACTTCTTTCAAACAAAGTACATGTGAAGAAATGAAAAAAACTATTAGCAGACTCCTGTGTGACATTACAGACTCTAAGATGAATGCCCCCTTTGCAAAAAAAAAAAAAAAGCATAACAGAGCTTGGAATCAATGGCGACACACCTTTTGCTTATAATATAGCACTATCTTGCTGCCATTGAGGATGATTATATCTGTAGACTTGGGGTTGGGGGAGGGTCAGAAAGGAAGGGGCCACGCAGAGAAAATAGACTAGAAACTGCTAGAATTTCAGTGAATTGTGACTGTTGCACTCTGGAGGGGTCCACGCCCAGAGGATGCTGCCCACTAAGGAACTGCACGCATTTTTAACACATGCATTGAGCATACTTGTATTACTGCCGTCAGCACACATGTTTCAAGAGCCTCATGGCACATTCTGTTCAAATTCTATGTCCTCAGAATAAAATCATTGCCATGGAAATCTGTACCATATGCAGATGTACTTGTGCAAAGGACTGTGGAGGTACATGTTCCCATGGCAACGTTTTATTCAAAGGCTGAAGAGCCTCCACTAAATGTGTCAGGACATATTATTACCCAGCAGGAGATACAGGTGGGATTGATGAAGTTCAATATTTGCTGAACTAACAATTATAAACATAGCTCTAAAAAATGAGTTGAAAAATCATTTCTATGGATAGTTTGTATAAACAGGGTTCAGAGTTCTCCCTCCCCCAGCTTTGCCTTTTTCACCAGCATTCCATTCTCTTCCACTGTGCGTCTCTCCCCCTCAAACCGCTAAGCACAGAAACCATTTCTCCAAGTGCTCTCCAATTTTCAAAATGTCTGACAGTTTTATATACAAGATGTTTTTAAGAAAACCTAAGCATTCTCCTCTTTTTCTATTTAGGATCTTATTGAAATAGTGTTGGATTCTGATGAGTGTGTATGTATACACATACAGATATAAACACACACACACACACACACACATATATATAGATATACATAATTTTTGTACAATCATTTTAAAAATAAAATAAAGATGTTTCTTAATAAAATATCAAAGCTTAATTGTCAATAAAAAATATCAACAGAAGTGAAAATATCAAGGGGGCACTATGTGCAAATGGTTTTCTTTTACAAAACAGAATTATATAAATATATTACTAAACAAACATATAAAGAGAGCAGGAATAATTGGGAAGTAATCTAATCATCTATGCTTGATGAAATTGATGAAATTAAGAACTCAGACTTCCAGAATAAAATGATAAGCATCCTACAAAAGAATGAACAGAGCTAATTATTCACTTCAGCAAGCAGCAAAAAAAAAAAAATCAAAATCACATGAATCTCCTTGAACAAAATGTACCAGATAGGGTATCTATGATCACTGTCAAATCTAAGGACCTGAAACATCTGCACATATTTATAGATAAAAACATTCAAATTAAGAAATACTATTTCACATAAAAATATTTGAAAAGCTAAAAATCATTCTTTCAAGTAATGTGGCCAGCTAGAACAATAAAAAGAAGGTACAATGGTGAAGATGAAAATCACAATAGTTTTTCTGAGCACTACTTTTAAAGATTTGTAATCTATAATTATTTCATGTCATCTCTAACATTCTAAAGTTTTATATAAGGCTGAATTTGGTCATTAACAAATATAGATATTACTTGCTTTCTGAAATTTTTTAGAGAGAAAGTATGCATAAATAAAATTTCAGGAAATCAAATCATATCTGTTCACTAAATGACATTTTTTTGGTGAGACATTTAGTTTCCTCATTTTAAATTATGTTTAATGAATATTGGCACCTAATATGTTAGTTTTGAAATTATCCTCTGGGAGGATCTCAGCTACTCTCAAATAGAGTTACCAACTGACCAGAATTTTCTTTCCTTGACCTATATTTTTTTTTCACAGAAGCTCATTGCCAGTAAGGATCTATGACTGATTGGAAGCAAAATAATATTATGACATAGTAGTAGTACTTAAGTAATATACCAACCATGATGGAGATTAAGGTGGGGAGAGGGGCGGTGATGCAGGGAGCTCTTACTAATGTTCTCTGTTGCAGCCTGTTTTGGTTTTGGTTTGTTTTAGTCACGATTTGTTAATCCTATTGTCATAGGGGAGCTTGCCATATAAAGGAAAATCAAAGAATCCACTTTAGGATGGTTATTATAATTCATTATGATGAGTGGTTCTTCACTGGTGTAGTCTGTAAGCATGTTTTCCTTAAAGGAAGGGGGCACACTTTCATCCTCTATATTTTCAACTCTAGCTTGATTTTGCCATCTGCATTTCATTGCAAATCTCATGGTTTCTCAAAGGTACTATTTTCTAGAAATTCAAAAGTCACTAGTATGGTCTAGGTCCTCAGATTCAGCTTCTAAATGTCCATTCTAATAAATGACTTTTCTCTATCGAAAGCACAAGGCAGAACCACTGCTCCTGATTTCTTAATGAATGTGTTCACTGTAATTGTTTTGGAGAGATAGTACAATGTTATTTTCCAAAAAGAGAGATTCTTTCCACTTGTTGAACACAATTCTCTCAAGGAACATGCTTGAATGTTGATTAGAAGACTGTCTTGGACATTGAGAAGATTGGGTGCAAATAAGCTGAATTTAGAGAAATTTTGAGGAAACGTGTACCTGTCTAAAAATGCAGAGGCAATGTATAGTTATCAAGGAAAATTTGACTGGGAGAAGACATGAGTTCTATTCCCTCTGCCACTAATCAGTTGCGAACTTGGGAAAGGAGGAAGAGGGGTCAGCATGATGAGATCCACTTTCCTTACCTAATGAAAGGTTTGACAAGCTAGATTATTTCTATTTCTATTATTCCTAGCTTTAATACATTATTATGTGAGGGTAACCCCAATTCCATAACAAATCATGTCCCTGAGACTTACAGCTATGTGATTATGTGTATTTAACTTCTGAGTCTCAGTTACCTTATATGGAAATTAATGGCTTCCAACCAGATAGCTTTTAAGGTCCCTTCTAGTTCTAAATCTATGTTTTGTGATTCTTTGTGGTTCTGCTTCATATTTTCACATAAATTTTCTTATAGATCTGACACACTTAAGGTTTTCCTCTTGTTCTCTTAATTTCTCAGGGGTGCCAAATATGCCACTACTTGGGCTATCTATATGTTGTCTTTCATTCTTGTTACTGACAATGAAATATTGTATGATTTTGTTTAATTTTCAGTCTGCAATCTCTTGACCTCAGCAGTTCCCAAAGTTCATTTAAGTGAAGTTGCTCTAAACCCAGCAAACTTACTCTTTTTTTTATCAAGGTGGAACTCCACAAATTTAAATGCAAAAATGCAACTAAGGTGTATCAGAAAAGAAAAATACAAATGGACCATTGTTTCATTTTTTAAAATTTAATTTTCTTAAAATAATAAAGATCTACTTTTTTCTCTTCTATCCCTACTCTATTGGGGGAAAAAAATGACAATAAAACCAAAACTCTTGTAACACATATGTGGTAGTGCAGCAAAAACAAATTCCCTCATTGGGCATATCCAAATACACACACATATGTCTCATTCTGTCAAGAGGTGGATACTATGCATCATCATTATAGAACATTTTAATGCTTCCAACAAACAGAAGAATATTTTGAAAGGCTGAGATAGTACTTTCTAAAGCTTGCTGAATTTAAATGGATAAGCTATAATACAGACTTGGCTTTGTTTGGCTTTTTTTCATGCCTACACAGTATGTTTCTGATCATCATCTATCTGTCTTTATTGAAGAACAAAGTGAAAACTATGACTTACCAGAGCGTGATCTCAAACTGATTACAGACTTGTAAAATCACATCAGCATCAACTGCCAAGGCCAAACCCTGAGGCACATCAGGGAAGGTTGGCTTTTGAAATACAGCACACAGGCACTTCCATTTAAGCCCAATGCAACTCCACTTAGACTTATTTCATTATTATCAGGGCATGTAAAGAGATGAGAGAAGCCTTATTCAAAACAGATTACTGTTTGATCCTTCAGAGGTTTCTGAGGAAATATGGATTGGAAGGAATGTAACCCTTAATGAATCAAACTACTAGCAGCAACAATGATATTTTTTAAAGCACCAAGTTGTTCATTGCATGCATTGAGTATATTGGAAAACTCTCTTTACGGTGTTAAACACAAAGGAAAAGCATTTACAAATGGAAATGGTCTTATTTTCTCAGAGGTATCACTATGCCACCACTAGGGATGCCTAGTCGTGGCCTTTCATTCTTATCATGCGATCATACAACAAGATTATGGTTTAATTTTGCATCATACAAACATTACAGGAAAAAGAGGCATTTTCTATCCAACTCACATCTCTTCCACAAGAGGCAGCTGCATGCTACTTGTAATGCAATTTTCTGTCTGTCTTTTAAAAAAGCCTCAAATTACCTGAATGAAGTCACATGTGAAGTCTGGTAACTTTGTTAAAAACCTGCACACACTCATGCTAAATAATTTCAATGACCAATTGAGTTCTGAGCTAAGAGATGAGAAAATGTAGTGAAAGTGGGAAGATGACAGCCAGCTGTGGGTGCAGAATGCCACATTCACTGCTTGTATGTGCAGTCCCTCTGTTGTTTGGTTTGGCTTACCTGTTTTGCTTCAACAAGTAAAAGGTTTGGTTTTTTTTCTTTGCAGGGGAAAGGGATATTCTCAGATATGACTCATATAAAAAGGCATCAACTCAAACTATGATTTAAATAAAGAAACAGGTGAACAAGAAAGAAGTTAAGGAGGTGAATATAATTTTAGGAAAGTTAGATTATGGTAGACTTCTGGAGAAAATTGAATGGGGACAGAAAGGCTTATACTATTTTTCTCAGCAGTAAATAGCACACACACAAAAATTGATCATGTACTACAGCATAAAACCTTCACAATCCAATGCAGAAACATTAAATGCATCCTTTTCAGATCTTGATGCAATAAAAATTATATGTAATAAAGGGCCATGGAAAGATAGACTAAAAATTAATTGGAAACGAAATAATCTAATCCTAAAGAATGAATCATAGAAACAATATCATTCAAGAGAATGACAATAATGAGACAACATACCAAAACTTATGGGATGCAGCGAAAGCAGCTCTTAGGGGAAGTTTTATATCTCTAAATGCTTACATGAGAGGGCCAGCTAGGTGGCTGGCTGGCAGGACGACCTTCCTGCTTGGCAGTTGCCTGGAGGGAAAGCATTGGACTAGTACTTTGCTTTTTGCTTTTTGCTTTCTGCTTTTCTGCTGGAATGGGTGATTGAGGGGGAGGTGGGCATGGAGGAGTAGCTCTGAATGGACTTGGAGGGTTTTGTGAGATGGAGGGCTAAAGGAGACCTTAGGGGTCATCTGGTCCAACCTGTTCATTTTGGAGAAAGTGAAAATGAGGACAAGAAGAGGGGAGGATCTCGACCAAGGGTACAGAGCCAGTAAGTACCTGAAGCAGGACGTGGGCCCAGGTTTGTCTTGCTTGACACCCTAGGTGGCTTCTATGTTGACATCTCTCCCCTTTGACATCCAAGTTTCATGGGCGGAAGATCCCTCAGAAAACACTCCCAAGAAACAGCTTCCTGCCTAAAGTGGGATTTGTGTAGGTCACCCAGAGAGTTACCAGGGCAAGGCAGAGCAAATATCACCCCTTTCCTGAATGGGTTTCTTCCCTTTCTGAAATGGGAGGGAAGGGAGGGGATGATCTTCAGTGGCTTCACTGCTAGCCCTGCTTGAATGTGTTCCTGGAAGTTGGCTATGATAAAAGCCTAGGCGAGGTCCCTCTTTCCTGCCCTCAGAAAACACCCAGTCTAGTGTGGGGGGAGAGGAGTCTCTGGGACATGGTGAACTTGATACAGGTTGGGCAAAGGAGGAAGGGCTAGGTGACAGGGGGATCCGGAACAGCGTGCTGCAGTTGGCCTTTCCAAGATGGGAAAGAGGGTGGAAAGTGATCACATAGCAAAGGTATCAATTGTAGGCTGAACAAAGGGACTTCTCTGGGCTAAATGAGGGTCCTGGAGGAGTCAGGGTGAAGACAGGAACCTGAATAACACCTTGAGCAAAGCTCATGTGCCCTTTCCTTTACCCACCTTAGCAGGTGTGTCAGGGTCTTCCCAGGAAGAGGGGTTCTTCCCCAGCTTGTTGAGATCATTCTCAAGGACAGCTCAGAGCTCATCTGCCTGATGCCAGAGGTGTGAAGGGGAAGAAGATGGGGCAAGCAACCAAATCAAATTGCCGGTGAAAATGATGCCACCAATACAAGGGTTCAGGAGTCCTGGAAGGCCTTTATCAAAAGCCTCAGGGGCTGGTCCCAGGCCACTGACAATCAGAGAAAAGAAAGCAGGGCCAAAAGAAATGTGGCTTACAGTAACAACTCCTCCAAGCTGAAGTATTCCTCTCTTTTAGTCATGATTGAAAGGGGGATGTGTATTGAAGAACGGGCCAGGGATCGATCTCTCTCTCTCTCTCTCTCTCTCTCTCTCTCTCTCTCTCTCTCTGTCTGTCTGTCTCACACCCACACACACACACAGATAGAGAGAGAGAGAGAGGGACAGGGACACACTCCACCCCAGTGCAATCATTTCAGGTGGAGTTTTAAGTGAGAGAAATCATTTGTAATTGGGTGGTGAAGAAACGGTGCTGTATAGTGTTGTGCCCAACAGTTGAATTACTTTCTAAGGAGAGAGATGGGATAGCCATGGGCAAAACAGATTGGGAACATAAACTCATTTGGGAAATCTCATGGCAAAAGTGGGTGAAAAATAGAGACTTTTCTTATGGATGAGTATTCATATTCTCTCAATGTTGAAACATATGAGTACTCACCTATTGTCTATAGTCGTATATATTTGTACTGATATTCTCTCTCTAGATTCCTGTATATGAATAGCCAGTCTCATCTATGTCTCTTTCTACAGCCATGCTCATATATCCTTTCTTTAGATCCACACACACACATATGTACTCCTTTGTTCTCTATTCATATATGGGAGCAATCATAAATGGAGAAGATATTCCTATTTATGTCCCTGTCTAACTCTCGTATTATGTATGATCGTACATACTTCTTTCTCCATTTATTGACACGCAAGCATGCATACATTCTCCATTTTCACAGAAAAAAGTACTCACATATTCCTTATCTTGACACACGGCACCATTGCCTTTGTCCTGGTTCTCCCCCGTACCTAGAAGGCTGTCCATTGTCACGTTGTCGTCTTAGAATCATTTGTCTTTCTCAAAACTTAATTCAAACATCACTTCCTACCTACACCCTATTCTTATGTCCTCAGATGGTTGTGCGCTCCCCACTTAAAGTTACCTAGTACTTATTTTATACGTTTTTTGCATGCATGTTTGTGTGGGAGGAGGTATCTCCTCCAATCAAATATTAGCTCCTCAAAGGCAGTGATTGTTTCATTTTTATGTTTGTATCTCACTATGTAGCACCATGTCTGCCACATTATGAGCCTTAGTAGATGCCTGTTGATAGTTAATGACTAATGTTGACCGTACTGTGGTCCTTTCTTGGTGTGGTGCCTTGGACTATGGTAGTGTATTACAGCCTTTATTCTTGGATTGTGTTTTCTGTGAATTTCTGGTACCTTCACTGCTGTTCTTTTATGTAGTTTGTAAGTACTCTCTACAGTCTAGAGTTTAGTGGATATCGTAGGCAATCTCCCCTGCCCCCCACCTCTGCCCAGTCCCTTTTCAGTTTGAAGCTTTTTCGGTTATGTTCTTGGTGATTAGAGACAGAAGCACCGACATTGCCAGAAGAAGCTGGATGTGAATGGCGTGGGGCTGGCTAGATAGAGTGGGTATGTATTCACTTGCATTCACTCACTCATTCACCCCAGTTAGGACATTTCACCCCCATGTCAGAGATACAAAACTGAAGGGATTAACTCCCCCAGGGACGAGGGGCAAAGGATTGGTTTTGCTACTTTTGAAATCAAACATTGAAAGACTTTTTAAAACTTGCAAAAAACCCATCTATTGTTTTCTTAATTTTTTGGCGAGGCAGTTGGGGTTAAGTGACTTGCCTAGGGCCACACAGCTAGTGAGTGTTATGTGTCTGAAGCTGGATTTGAACTCAGATCCTCTTGACCGCAAGGCCGGTGCTCTATCCACTGCGCCACCTAGTTGCCCCCAAACCCAAGTCTAGTAAGCAGTCTTTAGAGAGTGCTTGGCTTTGAACTTGAAGTTAAAGGTATCTCCATGCTATGACTCCATTTTCTTTTATTTTAGAATTTGCTGATGAATCCATACAGCATAAGGCCATACTGATATCTGTGACAGTCTGTAGCTTCCTTCTGATCCTTCTGATTCTGTTCTGGTTTTTCAGGTAAGTCTCCAACACGTAAGTAGAGCCCTTTTGTGTAGCAGGTGTCTTCTGAATGCCTATACTCTAGGTGTTTGGGTAAGGTCAGGTTTCATTTGCACATTTACTACCTGGGGCAAAATCCAGCTATTATACTTCATTTCTAGTTATAGCGAAGCTATTTTAAGTATATATTTTCTTTAAAAAACCTATTGCCATTTATTAATATCTGCCCCAATGGTAACATCAATGGAAGCTATAAGAACGTGTACAGTGGAAGATGTTGAAATTGCTTTGTTATCTTGTAAGTATTATTTCATGCAGGAAGGTTGAAATACCAGGCTTTTTGGGTAGAATAGCTTAGTCAATGAACTCAGCTTTTCTCATTGTAAGAAAAAGGTGAGATTTGTTCTCCCATGCCCCATGTATTTGAAGAATATTTTCGGAAAGTTTTGCTGATTATTAAAACATACATTTATAAGATAACAAAGTGATTTTTATTAGATGAGGCAGTAGATAACTTGTCAAGGCATTCTGTTGCTCCTACTACTTGCCTTCAACCTAACCCTCTTATTACGAACACCAGCCACTCTTGCTTTCTAAAAAATAAGAAATTACAATTCAAGTCATTTAATTCATGTCTTTATTAGGAATCAGAGAAAATTAAACTATAAGTAAAACATGTTTTTAAAGCTTAATTGCAGGTTTAATTGTCTTTTGTCCTTCTTCCCATTTTAAAATTTTCTGCCTTTGTATGTGTGGGGGACTAAGTGATGATTTAACAGTCTTCAGGTGCTTAACTGACAATTGAGGAAAAGAGATCAGACTTTCTTCACTAGGTCCCGGAGGTTAGAACTGGGAGCTATGAGCAGAAGATACAGTGAGGCCAATTTAGATTTCATAGAAGGAAAAGCTTTCTACTACTTATTTCCCCAACTGTCCCCAAATGGAATGGGTTTCCTTTGGAGATAGTGGTTGTACTTTAGAGGTTTTCAGGTGAAAGCTGCATCAGCGCTCATCCTGAGTATTAGAAAAGGGAATTCTTGTTTAGGCACCTATTGGACCAGATGGCGTTTCAGAAGGAAGGCATTTTGGAACATCAAAAACAGCACCAGCTGTGAAGTCACACGGCTTAAAATCAGTGCCTGTGACCCTGAGTCACATTTCGTTTCCCGGGGCCTCAGTTTGCTCATTTCTGAAAGGAATCTCTAGATCTCTATATGATCTCTTCTGTTACCCTCAGTATGAAAGTAAGGTATAAAACAAATGGATTGTTATAATACTGAATAGAGTACAAGCTTCCATAGAAGTCAGTGGTGTGCAGGAAGTGAGTTGCAAAGTTAGCAAAACATCTATTCTCTTTAGGAACGATTCTTTAGGTCACTGAGTAGAGACACTTTGAAGTCTGATCCTGAACTCTAGGAAAAGAGAAAAATGTGAATGATGGTGATTGGTTAAGAAATATAAAATTATTTCCTTTGGAATAATTATGACTCGTTGTATTGACTACTGTGAGTCAGTGATTTAAGCGCCAAAGTGAATGTGGTGAATCATCTTCTGTGCCATGTTTTCACCTGTTCCTGTACCTGGGTAACTAAGTAACGTTTCCTCTTTACACCTTTAGGTATACGAGACGAAAAGCAAGACATCATCACAGCATCAGACTGCACCAGGATGAGATTTACATTCCTCCAGAGGAACGCTTGAAAGATTTCATTGAACAGTCTCAGAACTCAGGAAGTAGATTAGGGCTTTCTCCACTGGTAGGAAGAGAATACTGTTAGAGTTGAAACCATAACCTCTGTAAAATGGCAAGAACCACCCGGTGTCTGTTTAGTAGGGAAGGCAGGAGGGCATTGGTCAGGGAAAGAATCCTCTTTGGTTAGAGAGACGGGAGCTCGGTTAGAGTCCTAACTGATAACCTCTTGAGTTAGAGGGTAATGTGATTGTTTGGTTTTTATTGCAAGGGTAGAATTACAATCCAGACTTTAGCCTCTTCTGATCATGAGCAGATTAGGAAGTATTACATGTGGAACCATATTCACCCTGGATTCACTAAGGCTTCCGTTACTTGCTTCTTGGCTATGTTTCCTACGTCCAAAGGATCACATGTAATTCTTCTCCAAGCATCACATTGGGATTGTTTCAGCCTCAAGACTCATATTTCAGAGTGAATTCCATATCTTTTCCCTTTAGGAGAGGGCTGATTTTCTGATGGTCATTGGTGCCAACCTTGGAGACTATATGTGGGGAATCCAAAGTACTTGCTTTAATGAGAGAAACACAGGAGAGATTCTTAGGGCTCACAGGGCAGGGAATGGGACAGGTTTAAAAGTAAAAAGTCTGCATCCTCCATGAAGCATGGAAGCTAGTGTTTTCCTGCCTTTTGCAGCAATGTGTAATTATTGGGGTCAGGCTTTTCTATCCTTAACTGGATTTCTCTCTTACCTTGTTGGGGTAGAGTAGCACACTACCAGGTCTTCACTTTATTCTGTTTAAATTGGATCTGTGATTTCATAGGTGCAGGTCAACATTTGCTGTGCAGCTAATAGTTTTTAAGAGCTACTTGAAGCACTGGGAGGTAAAGGGATGTGAGCAGGGTCACTCAGCCAGTGTGTGTCAAAGGCAGGGCTTGAACTCAGATTTTCATGCCCCAAGGCCAGCTATCTATGTGTTATACGATACCTCCTCTAGGTCTACTGCCTTATTAAATTTTAAAGTGTGTTAACCATTATTTAATTTTTTTACAATTCACTTTCATGTTTAAACATTGGGCCATTTGTCCTTTTGCCAGATGGCTCTAGAGAACACTTATTGGTTCCATCGGCTCATTTCTAGCCTGTAGCACCTATCGTTAGTCACGGTCCCCTCTGAGCTGCTCTAATCTTCTTTTCAAAATCTCTCACGTTCTCATTTGTCGTCTGCTGTAACTTAATAAGGATTGAAGCCTGTTCGCAGATGTTCTTGTGCCTGGAATGTAGCAACCTCATTTCCGTTTTTGATGGGATTACTTAACTAGTAATTGAGGAGAATGCTATGGATATACTTTAGTTAGGCTTTACCAGATTTTTTTTTTTTGTATTAGTTTCTCCTACTCTTGTTGTGAAGATCCGGGAATAAGGATTAGACATTACTTTCAGAACTATTAGGTACCAGGCACCATGCTGAAGATACAAATACGTAAAAAGAAAGATAGCCCTTTCCCTCAAGAAGCTTCTAATCTAATGAGGGAAAGACCTGACACAAAAGGAAGCTGAAAAGCAGGAGTGGAAAGATGTCCCATGCCCTTGGCAGTGTAGAGAAGTCCTAAAGTAGTGCAGCCAAGTGGGAAATGAAGAGATGTCTGTGCTGAGCCCTCTCCCTCCATGGAGGTTTTGGAGATCTAGGCTCCCTCCGCCTTCCAGTCAGAGGGGTAGAGGGTAGTGGTAGTGAGAATAGCCAGTTCTGAAAAAGTATTGGTGGACTGCAAGCTCAGTACTGATCAGCAGAGTCAGATGGGCCCCAAAAAAGGGCATTCGATCTCGTGCTGCATTAAGAAGTGCAGAGCTTCCAGGAAGAGGGTATTTGCAGTGCATCCCGACCTTGTCAAGGGGTCCTCTGTGTTTGGTTCCCCGTGCTTTATTCAGTGAGATATTTCACATTGTTTTCTAATTTTTCATTCTTTTGGATTTGTTCTACTGTGTCATGATTTCTCATAAAATCACTATCTTCCAATTGCTGTATTCTAATTTTCAAGGAAGTATTTTCTTCAGTGAGCTTTTGGACTTCCTTTTCCATTTGGCCAAATTTGCTTTTTAGGGCATTCTTCTCCTCATTGGCTTTTTGGACCTCTTTTGCCATTTGGGTTAGGCTATTGTTTTTTTAAAATTTTATTAATTTATTTTGATTTATCAACAATCACTTCCATATGCTTTTGAGTTGAAAATTTTTCTCCCCTTCTTCCCCCACCCTCCCCAAGATGGCACACAATCTGATATAGGCTTTACATTTACATACCCATTAAACATATTTTCACATTAGTGAAGTTGTAAGTAAAAATTAAAACCAATAGGAGGAACCATCAGAAAGATGAAACAAAACTCAACAGAAGGTAAAAATAAGTGATAGCGATTCGACTTCCATAGTTCTTTCTTTGGATGTGGACAGCATTTTCCATCCTGAGGCCTCTGGAGATGTCTTAGATCCTTGTAATGCTGAGAAGGGTTCAGTTTAACAATCTTAGTCATTGCATAACGTGGCTGTTATTGTGTACAAAGTCCTCTTGGTTCTGCTCACTTCACTCAGCATCAGACCATATAAGTCTTTCCAGGTTTTTCTGAAGTCAGCCTGTTCATCATTTCTTATAGCACAATAGTATTCCATTACATTCATATACCACAACTTGCTCAGCCATTCCCCAATTGATGGGCATCCTCTCAATTTCCAATTCTTTGCCACCACAAAAAGAGCTGCTATGAATATTTTTGTACATGTGGGTCCTTTTCCCATTTGTTTGATCTCTTTGGGATATAGCCCTAGAAGTGCTATTGCTGGATCAAAGGGTATGCACATTTTTGTAGCCCTTTGGGCATAGTTCCAAATTGTTCTCCAAAATGGTTGGATCATTTCACAACTCCACCAACAATGTATTAGTGTTCCAATTTTCCCACATCTTCTCCAACATTTATCATTTTCCTGTTTTGTCATGTTGGCCAATCTGATAGGTGTGATGTGGTACCTCAGAGTTGTTTTGATTTGCATTTCTCTAATCAATAACGATTTAGAGCATTTTTTCATATGACTATAGATGGCTTTAATTTCTTCATCTGAGAACTGTCTGTTCATATCCTTTGACCATTTATCAATTGGGGAATGGCTTGTGTTCTTATAAATTTGTCTTAATTCTCTATATATTTTAGAAATGAGGCCTTTATCAGAGAGACTGGTTGTAAAAATTCTTTCCCAATTTTCTACCTTCCTTCTAATCTTAGTTGCATTGGCTTTGTTTGTGCAAAAACTTTTCAATTTAATGTAATCAAAATTATCCATTTTGCTTTTCATAATGTTCTCTATCTCCTGTTTGGTCATGAATTCTTCTGTTCTCCATAGATCTGATAGGTAAACTATTCCTTGTTCTCCCAGTTTACTTATGGTATCAGCCTTTATATCTAAGTCATGAACCCATTTTGACTTTATTTTGGTATATGGTGTGAGATTTGGGTCTACGCCTAGTTTCTGCCATACTCTTTTCCAGTTTTCCCAGCAGTTTTTTTTCAAAGAGTGGGTTCTTATCCCAGAAGCTGGGGTCTTTGGGTTTATCAAATAATAGATTACTATAGTCATTGACTACTGTGTCTTGCATATTTAACCTATTCCACTGATCCACCTCCCTATTTCTTAGCCAGTACCAAGCAGTTTTGATGATTGCTGCTTTATAATACAATTTAAGATCTGGAATTGCTAGGCCACCTTCCCCTGCATTTCTTTTCATTAGTTCCTTTGATATTCTGGACCTTTTGTTTTTCCAAATGAATCTTGTTATTATTTTTTCTAACTCTATAAAATAAATTTTTGGTAGTTTGATTGGTATGGCACTGAATAAGTAAATTAGCTTAGGTAGGATTGTCATTTTTATTATATTAGCTCGGCCTACCCATGAGCAACTGATGTTTTTCCAATTATTTAGATCTGATTTTATTTGTGTGAAAAGTGTTTTGTAATTGTGTTCATAGAGTTCCTGGGTTTGTTTCAGGAGGTAGACTCCTAAATATTTTATAATGTCTACAGTAAGTTTAAATGGGATTTCTCTTTCTATCTCTTGCTGTTGGGCTTTGTTGGTAATATATAGAAATGCTGATGATTTATGTGGGTTTATTTTATAGCCTGCAACTTTGCTAAAGTTGTTTATTATTTCAAGTAGTTTTTTACTTGATTCTCTAGGATTCTCTAAGTATATCATCATGTCATCTGCAAAGAGTGATAGCTTTGTTTCTTCTTTGCCTATTCTAATGCCTTCAATTTCTTTTTTTCTCTTATTGCTAAAGCTAAGGTTTCCAGTACAATATTGAATAACAGTGGTGATAATGGACATCCTTGTTTCACCCCCGATCTTATTGGAAATGCTTCTAGCCTGTCCCCATTACATATAATGCTTGCTGAAGGTTTTAGATTGATGCTATTTATTATTTTAAGGAAGACTCCATTTATACCTATGCTTTCTAGTGTTTTTAATAGGAATGGGTGTTGTATTTTATCAAAAACTTTTTCTGCATCTATTGAGATGATCAGGTGGTTTCTGTTGGTTTTGTTGTTGATATGCTCAATGATGCTGATAGTTTTCCTAATATTGAACCAACCCTGCATTCCTGGTATAAATCCTACCTGGTCATAGTGTATTATTCTTGTGATAAGTTGCTGCAATCTATTTGCTAGTATTTTGTTTAAAATTTTTGCATCTATATTCATTAGAGAAATTGGTCTATAATTTTCTTTCTCTATTTTGACTGTTCCTGGTTTAGGTATCAACACCATATTTGTATCATAAAAAGAATTTGGTAAGACTTCTTCTTCACCTATTTCCCCAAATAGTCTATATAGTATTGGAAATAATTGTTCTTTAAATGTTTGATAGAATTTGCATGTAAATCCATCTGGCCCTGGAGATTCTTTCCTAAGGAGTTCATCAATGTCTTGTTCAATTTCTTTTTCTGAGATGGGGTTCTGTAAGTATTTTACTTCCTCTTCGGTTAATCTGGGCAATTTATGTTTTCGTAAATATGTATCCATTTCAGTAAGATTGTCAAATTTGTTGGCATATAGTTGGGCAAAATAATTCCTAATTATTGTTTTAATTTCCTCTTCCTTGGTGGTAGCTTCACCCTTTTCATTCTTGATACTAGTAATTTGGTTTTCTTCTTTCTTTTTTTAAATTAAATTAACCAAAGGCTTATCTATTTTATTGGTTTTTTCATAAAACCAGCTCTTAGTTTTATGTATTAGTTCAATAGTTTTCTTAATTTTTCCTTTGGTTTTCAACATTTCTAATTTGGTGTTTAGTTGAGGATTTTTAATTTGTTCTTTTTCTAGTTTTTTTTAGTTGTATGCCCAGTTCATTAATCTCCTCTTTTTCTATTTTATTTATGTAAGCATTTAGAGATATAAAACTTCCCCTAAGAACTGCTTTTGCTGCATCCCATAGGTTTTGGCATGTTGTCTCATTATTGTCATTTTCTTGAATGAAATTATTGATTGTTTCTATGATTTGTTGTTTGACCTAGTCATTTTTTAGGATTAGATTATTTAGTTTCCAATTATTTTTTAGTCTATCTTTCCATGGCCCTTTATTACATATAATTTTTATTGCGTCATGATCTGAAAAGGATGCATTTAATATTTCTGCCTTTCTGCATGAGATTGTGAGGTTTTTATGCCCCAGTACGTGGTCAGTTTTTGTGTACGTGCCGTGTACTGCCGAGAAAAAGGTATATTCCTTTCTATCCCCATTCCGTTTTCTCCAGAGGTCTATCATACCTAAGTTTTCTAATGTTCTCTTCACCTCCTTAACTTCTTTCTTGTTTATTTTGTGGTTAGACTTATCTAGTGCCGAAAGGGGGAAGTTCAGGTCCCCCACTAGTATAGTTTTGCTGTCTGTTTTTTCCTGTAACTCCCTGAGCTTCTCCTGTAAGAATTTGGATGCTATACCGTTTGGTGCATATATATTTAGTAATGATATTACTTCATTGTCTATGGTGCCTTTTAGCAGGATGTAGTTTCCTTCCTTATCTCTTTTGATTAGATCTATTTTTGCTTTTGCTTTGTCTGAGATCAGGATTGCTACCCCTGCTTTTTTCACTTCAGCTGACGCATAATATATTCTGCTCCAGCCTTTTACCTTTACCCTGTATGTGTCACTCTTTTTCAAATGTGTTTCCTGTAAACACCATATTGTAGGATTATGGTTTTTAATCCATTCTGCAATCCGTTTCCGTTTTATGGGAGAGTTCATCCCATTCACATTCATGGTTATGATTACTATCTGTGTCTTTTTCTCCATCCTTTTCCCCCCATATTTATGCTTTTCTTTCTCCTTTTTCCTTTCTCCCCTTCACTAGTGTTTTGCTTTTGACCACCGTCTCCTTCAGTCCCTTCCCCCTTTCATTATCCCTTTCCCTCTTCTTCCCCTTTAGTCTTACTGCTGCTTCCCTCCCTTCTTTCCCCCCCTCCCTTTTCTTTCCCCTTTTCCCTCCTACTGCCTATAGGGCAAGTTAGATTTCTGTACCTAACTGATTATATTATGCCCTTCTTGAGCCAAATCTGATGAGAGTAAGGTTCAAACAATGCTCCCCCCCTCCCTTCTTTCCCTCTGCTGTAATAGGATTTTGTGTCTTTTCCTGTAATGTAATTTACCCTTGTCTGCCTCCTCCTTTCTCAGCACATTTTCTAAGATCAGATTGATCCACTTACTTGGATCCATTTAAGCCACTTGATTAGATTTTTTTTTTAACATTGCATGAAAGTCAACTAATATCCACTCTCTTTATGTATACTCCTTTAACAAGGTGTAATAACAATACGGTTCTCAAGGGTTGCAAGTCTCATATTCCCTTGTAGGAGTTTAAACATCCCCCGCCCCTTATTAACAACATATTGTATCCTTCTGTCCCATTTACCTTTTTAAGTCCTTCTTGAGTCCTGTACTTGAAGATCAAACTTTTTGTTGAGCTCTGGTCTTTTTATCAGGAAAGTTTGGAAATCTCCTATTTCCTTGAATATCCACCTCCTCCCTTGAAAAATGATGCTCATTTTTGCTGGGTAATTGATCCTTGGCTGCATTCCAAGCTCCTTTGCCTTATGGAATATCATGTTCCATGCCCTGCAGTCTTTTAATGTAGAAGCTGCAAGGTCCTGTGTAATCCTGACTGTGGTTCCATGCTATTTAAATTCTTTCTTTCTGGCTGCTTGCAGCACCTTCTCTTTCATCTGGTAATTTTGGAATGTTGCTATGATATTTCTTGGTGTTGTCAATTTGGGATCTCTTTCAGGTGGTGATGGGTGGGATTGTTTCTGTGGTTATTTTCCCTTCTGTTTCTAGGACTTCCGGGCAGTTTTCCTTTATGATTTCCTGAAAGATACTGTCCAGGCTTTTTTTCATCATGATTTTCAGGTAGTCCAGTAATTTTTAAATTGTCTCTCCTGAGTCGATTTTCCAGGTCGATTGTTTTACTGATGAGGTATTTTACATTTTCATGTAATTTTTCATTGTTTTGTTTCTGTTTGACTGATTCTTGCTCTCTCATAGAGACATTAGTTTCCATTTGTCCAATTCTAGTTTTTAACAGATTGATTTCTTCTGTTAGATTTTGTACTTCCTTCTTCAACTGGCCAATTGTGTTTTTTAGGGACTTGTTTCCTTCAGTATACTCTTCTGTTACTTTTTGTCCTTCCTTCTTCAGTTGGCCAGTTGTGTTTTTTAAGGACTTGTTTTCTTCAGTGTATTTTTTTTCCAATTGGCCAATTGTATTTTTGAAGGAGTCTTCTACCAACTCTCTCATTTGAGTATTAAACTCCTTCTTGACCTCTTCTAAGAAGACTTTTTGGGCTTCAGACCAGTTCATATTCCCTTTTGAGGTTGCAGATGTGGGTTTGTTGACAATGTTGTCCTCTTCAGAATTTCTGTCTTGATCTTCACTCTTCTCATAGTATGAATCTATGGTACGTTTCTTTTTACTCATGGTGTTTCTTTATTTTCTGGCCTTTAAAGAGATTGAGCTCTCCTGCTGTGGAACAGAGGGTACTGACCCAAGCTTCTTGTGTTGGGAGCCTAGGTCTTGGTCACTGTCTTTGCCTGCTGGGGCCTCTTATGCTGGGAATTGGAGGCTATAGGTTTCTGGCAGCTTACCTTGTGTTGGGCTGGAATCAGCAAGACTGGAACTTTCAGGCAATTCTAAGTTGCCTGCTTTTCCTTTCCTTTAGCTTTCTTCAGCTCCTTTTAGATGGGTGCTGCAGGGTGTTTATCTGCCTGGGGCCCCTTGCGGTGTTGTCTCCGTAGTTTCTGCTAATGCAGCGGGAGATTCCTTTAAGGTGGAGTGCCGAGACTCCTGGTGGTTTTCTGAGCTGGTTTCCACCGGGTTCCCCCCGCCCTCACTGAGGCACTCAGAGGTGCAGGTGTTGGTGTTTGCCTGCTCTACCACCTGGGCTTTAGGATTTCTTCACAATTGGAGGCTTCAGGGCTCCTAGAGCTTACCTGGTGTTGGGTTGGAATCAGCAAGGCTGGGACTTTAGGAAGACTCTAGGTTGCCTTCTTCACGTCATTTCTGATGAATGCTGCAAGGTGCTTATCGGCCTGAGGCCCTTTGTAGTGCTGCTTCCGTTATTTGTGCTGAGGCACTGGGAGACCCGTTTGCTGGGCTGCTGCACTGCTGTTCCCCACCTTTCTTCTAGTTCAGCTGCTCCAGGGTTTTTTTTTTCTCGGGTGATAATTTCTGGTTTTTCAGATGTTGATAGGGGAGGGTGAGAGTGACTACCTTTTTACTCCACCATCTTGGCTCCCAGCCTATTTGTAACACATCCGTTTTTGTAGTGTGTATATGTCCTATGTGTCCCTCAAAGAAATATAAGCCCCTTGAAGTCAGGGACTGCTTTATCTTTGTATTCCTAGTGCCTGGGACAGAGTGGGCACTTGTGATAAATACTGATTGATTAATTGATTTACAATGAAGGTGTTAGATCCTCTCTGGTCCCTTCCAGCTCTAAATCCAGTGGTCCTTTGAGACTTCATAAAGAATCTGAGATTCTAAGCCCAGTCTAAATTAGGGTGATGAAGGGGGTAGGGTTGGGACAGGCAGCCATCTCGAGTGATAGAGGGGGTATTTCAAATATAAAGCATGTATTTAAAAAAGAAGCTATGGTTTAGGAGATGAGGAGAAGGTGTTTGTGGGGTCCTCACGTGAGATGCTGTGATTTAGTAGTTATTGTCTAATAGGGCTGATGGCAGAACTGCCATAGCCTAGCCCTGTACTTAGTAGGCATTTAATAAATGCGTGATGATTGCTTTTTCAGCTAATTTGAAAACCATTTCCATTTATGACTTCCATGCCTGAAGACAAGGCTCAGTCTTAATAGGAGCCGTCTTTGATAAGAAGCCTTTTTCCATTTTCTTGATCAATGTAAAACTTTCAGTTCCAAGGTTTTTCCCCTCCAATAAAATGTCAGTAAATAAAAACACTATCTCACAATAGAGAAATAATTTAAAGTTATTTGGAAATGCATTGTCTATATAAAGAAAAGCTACAGGCCAAGCATATGTTGCCATACGTAGTCATTGCTTTTATTCAAGAGAGATTAAACAAATATGTTGCGCTGTGAATATACTAACAATGTGTTTTGGGATTGCATAGGTCCAAAGGACTATAGCTAGGCAGGTTGAGATGGTCCAACAGATTGGAAAAGGTCGCTATGGGGAAGTTTGGATGGCAAAGTGGCGTGGTGAAAAGGTAGCTGTGAAACTGTTCTCCTCCACTGAGGAAGCCAGCTGGTCCAGAGAGAAAGAAATATATCTGACGGTCTTGGTGAGGCATGAAAATATTTTGGGTGAGTAAAAATCAGTATAAAAATGTTCTGCATTTGTTTTCTAGCTCTAAGCCTTTTCTTCGTAGTGTTTGTGTATCAACTTAAATGAACTAACTAGAAACGTTGTCCTTATCTTCTTGGCCTTGGCCCGGCCACTAGCCCTGCAGTGCAAGGGGGCCTCAGAATACATGGCCAGAGTATTTCCAGAGACGAGGCTGAGAGGATGGGGGTCTTTTAAGAGAAATAACTGCTTGGGAGACTGGAAATTAGAACTCATCACTAGTGCTTAAGTTATCTAGGAATCATCTCATGTTCAGATTGTTCTAAGAGAAGAGAATTTTTTCAGAGTTAGGCAAGATTATACAAAATGTCTTTTTCTTTATTTTGGGGATCTGTGATCTCATCAGGTTTTAACCCATTCATGCCTTACCTTCTTATCACAGTGCACATCTATCCACAGAAGGTGTCCTAGAAGTATAAAGAGCTTCCTTTTCATATTTCAGGGGTCCTATTGTAGCACTTGAGATATATCTGTTACCCTTTGCCCTCAGTATATGACCAAGTCACTTCCTTTCCCTGTGAAGTAAATATCTTTGTGTTTTACATACCACTTCTCTGGCACACACGAAAGTTGGCATTTCCCAGTGTGTCCTATGCGGTTTTGATTGTTGCATTTGTGGTATTTTGTGATTCACATCCATATGACAGCACGAGGAGAATATTGGTGTTAAAAAGGTAAGTTCTGAAGAAGGGAGTAACATAGAACCAGTGAAATTGCAGGGCCGTTTACCAAATGAAATCCAGCTAGCTGTCTTCATATTGAATACTGGGCCCAGCTACAGAGTGCACTGCCATTCCTCCTGTCTGTAATGACTAGGTTAACAGCTCAGGAATTCTATCGGTACAGTTTATTTCTGTCAAGAATTCATTTTCTTCTTATCATCTTGGGTTAAAATGATCTGGCTCAAATTTTTCACGGAAAAAGTGTGTCTAAATGGATTAGTTTGGTTAGATGGATTAATTCTTCCTAGTCCTTATTTAGTGACTTTTTCTTCTGTTCACAGTGTCACCAAATTTCTGAGTTGAAAAGAACATATCCCTGAAAAAAGAACCCTATCAGTCTACTAAACTTTCTTTGTTTTGTTTTTACTAGGCAATGGGTTAAATGACTTGCCCAGGGTCACACAGCTTATAAGTAAGTGTCCAGTGTCTGGTGTGAGGCCGGATTTGAGCTCAGGTCCTCCTGACTTCAGGGCTGGCGCTCTATCCACTGCACCACCTAGCTGCTCCTACTAAGCCTTTCTTAAAGGAACTCCAGTAAGGAGGAGTCTCATTCCGTTTTGGGGAAACTAATTCTTAGGAAGTTTCTCTTCCAAGTGAAATTTATATCTTAGTAACTTCTACCCGTTGCTCCTAGTTCTGTGTTTTGTGGCCAAGAAGAACAAGTTTAATCTCTCTTTCACATGAATGTCCTTTTAAGACGTAAAAACAGATATCCTGCCCACCCTACCCCAAAATTCCCTCCCAAGTCCTCAATGGGCGAATATCCCTGGTTTCAAATTACATATTTAATGATCGCCAAAGCCATTCAGCATCCCAGTTGGACCACTCTGACTGGGCTCCAGTATTTTTACTGAATTTCAAAAATGATGCCCGTTTTGAACACATCACTTCCATTGTGGTATAACCAGGGTGCAGTACAATGTGACTATACCAAATGCCGCGTCTCTTACAGTAGTCTAAGATCAAATTATTTCTTTGCTGTCATGCCACACTGCCAATTGTAACTGAGCGTGCGATCCACTAAGAGCCCTACGTGATTTTCCACTTTGTTGTTGAGCCATGAACTAAAGATAATGTCTGACAAAGATGATTAAAGTTCATAATATTAGATTTGATTCAGTCTTCCAATCTGTCAAAATACTTGTGAATCCTGACTCCGTCAACCAGCGTTATCTGTGTGGACCAGCATTGTGTGTTCTGCTACTGTGCTAAGAATGTCATCTACACTTTTTATCTCTTGTCACTGATAAACTGTTAAATAGAAGAGAACCAAGAGTAGGTGCTTGAGGCACTCTACTGAAAACCTTACAAGGTGACAATAAACCACTATACATTATAACCATTATAACTAAGTAGTCTGTGGATCCAGTCATGCAGCCAATTTCTTAATCTTGCTAATTATACTATCATTTAGCAACCATCCCTCCATGTTTTCCACAAGAATAATAGTTGCTCAAATGGAACCAAATTATATCTATAGCTTACCCTTATCTTATAAGATTAGATTGGTATGACCTGTTCTTGATGAAACCCTGTTGGCTTTTCTGCATGAATTATAGCAATTATGGTAACCTAAACAAATTGACACACCCTAGAAAGAATTTGCCAATTAATTGCGCGTGGCATATTTTATTGATTCTTTTCCTTATTTTAATTGGTTTTGTTTGATATTAATAACTTAATAGCTTTATAGATGTGAAAGAAAAGTAACCCATGACTCCTGCTGATCTCAAACAATATGCATTGTGTTGTTGGAAGTATTGGGAAAGTACTCTTCTCCAAACTTTTTGTTCCTTTTTTCTTTTTGCTTCCTTTTTAGGATTTATTGCTGGAGACATCAAAGGCACAGGGTCCTTGACCCAACTCTGCCTAATCACAGACTACCATGAGAATGGGTCCTTATATGATTATCTGCAGTCTACTACCCTAGATACCAAAGCAATGTTAAAGTTGGCCTACTCTTCAGTCAGTGGCCTGTGCCACTTACATACAGAGATCTTAAGCACTGAAACAAAACCGGCAATTGCACATCGTGATCTGAAAAGTAAGAACATCCTGGTGAAGGAAAATGGAGCATGCTGTATCGCTGATCTGGGATTGGCCGTTAAGTTTGTCAGGTTCGTATCCAAGCAACCGGGCGAGAGTCTTCGAATGTTACCCTTGGAAGGTAGGGACCTTGGAGAGAGATAGTGTGCCCCAGCCCTTTACATAGGGCTACTCAGAGGAGTGAGCGGTGGAGTCTTTCGATGTCTGTTGAACCCTCTGGTTCTAGGAACGCAGGACAGTTTTACTTGATAATTTCTTGAAAGTTGAAGTCTACACTCTTTTTTGATCATAGCTTTCAAGTCCAGTACTTCTTGAGGTATCTCTGCTTGATCTATTTTCCAAGTCTGTTGTTTTTCCAATGAGATATTTCTAATTTTCTTCTATTTTCTTTTGATTTCATTTCATTGTTTCTTGATGTCTCATGGAGTCATTAGTTTCCACTCACCAAATTCTGATATTTTAGAAATTATTTTCTTCAGTGAGATTTTTATACTTCCTTTTCCATTTGGCAAATTCTACTTTTTTAAGGAGTTGTTTTCTTCAGTAAATCTTTGTACGTCTTTTTCCATTTCCTGTGCTTCCTTCACCAAGCTTTTGGCTCTTTTTTCTTGATTATCTTGCCTAACTCTTAATTTGTTTCCCCCAGTTTTTTTTTCTGCTTCTCTATTTTGCTTTTTAAAATCCCTTTTGAGCTTTTCTAGGAGTTCTTTTTGGGCCTGAGATCAATTTATATTTCTCTTTGAAGCTTCTCGTGGGCCTTTTGACATTGTTGTCCTCTTCTGAGTTTGTGGTTTCATCTTCCCTGTTGCCATAATAGCTTTCTGTGGTCTGGGGTTTTTTGTTGTTGTTGATGATGACACTTTTTTCATTTATGGCCTAGTTTGTGACTTTCAAAGTTGAGTTCTGGTTTCAGGGTACAGAGGGCACTGTCCCAAGCTTCTTGCTCTGGGTCCCCCGGGCCAGGCTGGTCACCTGCTGCACCACAGCTGCCTACCGTGTAGCTGGCCTTCTGTTCTGGGGCCACAGGGCCTTGGCTGCTGACCCTGGCTGGGGTGAGAGATCTCCCGGAGGCTGGCTCACCCAGAGATTGCCTGCACTGGCCTGTGTTCTGTCTTTACTTGAGGGAGACATATGTTTCCTGCAGTCCTTCTGGGTTGTCTTGGGCTAGAACATCATTTCACCTTGTCCTTGTGTGGGTTCTGCCCCTCTAGAATCCATTTTGAGGCTCTGTTTAGAGCTGTTTGGAGGGATTATGGAAGATCACAGGCAAGGTACAGCCTTTCCTCGGCCATTTTGGCTCTGCCTTGCCCAGTTGTTGTTGTTTTTTTAAGAGGCAGGTCCCTCCATTGAGAGAAAACAAATTGCTTGCTGTTAGAGAACGTAAATAAGTAGGGCTGCCTGCCCTTGCCACCATCTTCTTTATGAGTCTTTTTAACTGGTTAAGTTGGCTGTTGAGTCCCCTGTGCGTGCACTTCAGTGCCTCTGGACGAGTCTTCCTTTTCCTTTTCTCAGAATTGTCTTCAGGATTTCGTTTCTGAGAGCTCTCCATTCTGCTTGCACTGACTTATCTGTATAATGGTCTATGAGTTCCAACCCATCTTTCTTTGAACTCTTTGAAATATGTTTTGACAAAATCTCTGATGCATTTCCCATTATGCCCGCTTTTATCCCAAGCTCTAAGAGGAATGGTCGCTTCCCTCCAACATTCCTGGCATTTCCACTAAACAATCAGTTCTCTCAGATGAGGAGACTCATGTCCTGGGTAGAACTTAAGGATCTGCCATCTTTTGAAAGATGAAATGATCATTAAAGCAGTTTTTTCCTCGAGTTTCACAGCTGGGAAGCAGCAGAGTTCCTGGGATTCAGAGCCCACTACTGAAGAGACGGAGGGTGGTAGAGGAGAGGCAGGTTTGCTGATATCTCTAATTAATTATCAGTCCAATGAATAATTAACTGCATCTGCCCAGCCTCTGTCAGTGTTTGAATACTAATCACATTTCTTCCTTCCTGGTATGTATTGACTTTCCAGTGCCCCGTCCCATAGCCAGAAGAGGACCAGAGTTCTGTGACCCATCTGTATTTGAACAAGCTCTTTTACTTGACTCTCCTCCATTTGTAATTTAGTTTCTGTAAAGATAAAGACATATTCCTTAATTTCTGAAAGTTTTCTGTTTTCTTAAAGTGATGAATATTCCAAAAACTGATGGTATATCATTTGAAATAACATTGTACATTGGGGATTTAGGAAAGTTGAAACTTTTGGTGGAAAATAGATTTTGAAGATGGTTTAGGAATAAAGCTATTAGATTTTAAAATTATGAATAGATGTCAACAGTTCAGACTTAAATAGACATTTTTGGTAGACATAGAAATTCAGAGTTAAAACGTGTTGCCTTTAAAAACTGCAAACAGATTCATGTTTGTATTTTCGAAAGCTCAGAGACCAAATGAATGAGCTCAAGTCAGTAGTACACATTTTCAAAAAATCTGTATGTTTATGATTTAGCCCTGTCTGGTTTTTGTCACCTCCACTCTCCAGTCCACGGTTCCCAAAGCCACCAAATGAGTATGCCTTTGCAGAGATGTCCTTTCACTCCTCAGTTTAAAATCCTCCAGGGGCTTCCTCATGCCTACTGAGTGAAGTTGGAACGTTTGGGTGTGGTATTGGACTCTCCAGCTTTCCAGGCACATGTCATGCTTTCCCCACTTCAGTCAGGAGGAGTGTCCACCCTCCCTTGCTCTCTTCTTTCCTCCCTCTGGTCTTTGCTCCAACCATTACTCCTGGAAGGTGGGTCCCCCTTTGTCAGCTCTCCCTTCTGTGAGTTCCAGCCCGTCCTGTAAAGAAAGTGACTCCATGAAAAGCCTTCCCAGGTCCTAGGGAAGGCTGGCGAAGCACTTTTCATCTTTTTCGTGCACTTACGTAGTATCACTTTTAAATTGCCTACGTTCATTTATGAGCCGTCATTGATCGGTAGGGGTGATCCTGAACCCACGTCTATGGAGTTTGAGCTTTGGCAGCTCTAAGGACCTTAGAAGGCCAAGTTGAACCAGCTTCCAGTGCAAGGTACTCAGTGATGGACTCAGTCAGTTATTTGAGGACCAGCCTCGTGAAGTTTGGAAAGGATCAAAAGAGGCTTGACCAGTAGGTGACGGATTTGGACGCCAAGCACCTACTAAACCAGCTAAAGGGAGGGAAGGTTGTGGCCTGTGTCAGTGGAGGGAGAATTTACACTGACATGATCATGACTCTTGGAAGTGAGCATGTGTTGCTCACCTTTGTAAGATAATCATCTCCGTGCTGGGCCATCTCCTGTTGTCCTGATCTATGTCTGGCTGCTTGGGCCCAGATGGCTCTGGAGGAGAAAGTGAGGCTGGTGACTTGGCACAGCCCTGCCTCACTTCAATCCCATCCACTTGTAAGTCATGGCATCACCTCCCTGATGTCATGGTCCTCTTGGAGAAGGAAGGACAAACCACCATCACAACAATGAACTCTTTAAGAGCGTGACCACCTTGTATCAACTCCATCCCTAAGCGCAGTGATCTTCAGTCGGAATTATTGTTACAAATACTTGTTTATCGAATGTGAATTATTCAGAGATTTCTTCCTTAAGGTTTTCCAAATGATTTGCTTACAGACATCAGGTAAGACACTCGTTTGTCCCATTTTACAAAGGAGGAAACTTGGGTACAGGAGCCCCCAGCCTGTGACCACCCAACTAGTGTTGCCTAACGAGATTCACACCCAAGCGTCCGGCCTCAGGTGCAGCTCTCCTTCCTAGCGGATCAAGGTCAGATGGAATTGAAGTGGAGTCCTCCACTGTGACAGATTTGGTACTGGGCGGTTGGTTGGTCTTCTAGGAGGGAGCTAGGATCAGTCAGGTAGACTTTCCTTCTTCATGCTGTGTGACCTTGGGCAAGTGGTTGTATTTCCCAGTCCTCCCAGGCAGCCAGTACTCAATTGTAGACTTATTTCTGAGCTGTGATCGTAGACGGTTTCGCCCCTAGCATTTCCCCACACTGATAAAAGCAGAGGTCCAAGATTAAAAGAACAGTAATAAACCATGTAACTGTGTTTATCTATCTGTGAGGGATACTTAGAACTCTTAGGGAAAATATATAACACAGACTGAATTATGTTGTGGAAATTGAATGCAGTCAGGAAACCTAGATTCTAGGCTCAGTTCTGCCTAACCCAGAGATGGGGAACCTGCAGCCTCAAGGCCACATGTGGCCTTCTAGGTCCTCAAGTGAGGCCCTTTGGCTGAATCCAAGGCCACAGGTTTTGCCCACCTCTGGACTGAGTGTATGTTTGAAGAAGCCACTTATTTTTTCTTTCACCACTTGCTTTTTCTGTAAAAATGAAAGGATTGGACCAGATGAAAACCAGAGAACCTCCCGCCATAGAATTCTGGGGCTGGCATGAGGTGGGGGCCCTCTTCTTCTCAGTCCTGCTTTTGAGTATTTGGAAGAACTAGAAGATTTTTTGGGGGGGGGCTTCCTAAATCCTCTTTAATAGCAAAGCTGCTAGATCGCACATCTGAGAAGGGCTGTGTTTTAAAATGTTTAGTGAATATTTGATGGTAACCTCCTCCCTCCGTTTAGTGCTAATGAAGTTCCCAACGGTGCCCGGTGCGTCTCCTTTTCCCTCTGCTGGTCAGCACTTCCTCCAGCCTCAGCTAGATGAGCCTTTCCCAGCAGAGTCCTCGTTCCCACCCCACAGTTTCCCTCTCCCCTGTGGCTTCCGGCAGTCCTTGTGGCCTTGCTGCACACTGATTTTGCTCGTTGATTTGCCCTTACACAAAGAGGGGAGGTCTTCCTGCCTCCAAATCTGGCCCACAGTCCCCTGCATCACACTGCTTCTTCTCCTTGGGCTGTTGCTAAACATGGCATGTGCATGAGAGAATCACAGAAGGGACCCAACAATTTAAATCTGCTCATTTTAGATATAAAAAACCTAAAGTCCAGAAAACTTGAAAGTGCCTCTCAAAGCCTGAAGTAGAAGCCAAGTCTCTGTGTCCAGTATTTTCTCCACTACAGTCTGAGCCTCAGTTTCTTCGTCTGTAAGACGGGTTTTCCCTCTGTGTTGACGTCAGTGCTGTGCTTTTTCCCACAGCGTCACCAGTAAAATAGATGTCCCGGCCAACACTCGAGTGGGCACCAAGCGTTACATGGCGCCCGAGGTGCTGGATGAGACTTTGGATCACAACCACTTCTATTCCTACATCGCAGCAGATATGTACAGTTTTGGCCTCATTCTGTGGGAAATTGCCCGGAGATGTGTGTCAGGTGGTAAGTAACTCCAGTGTTGTTGGGAAGTTGCAGCCTGAGTTCCCACAAAAAGGAACCTTAGAGTTCCAAACTGAATTTTATCTCCACCTCCACTCCTTCCCCTGCTGGATTTAAGCTTCAGCTCTGAGCGCATTTAGGGACTAGATATGTCCTACTGGGCCGGGGGGGGCGGGGTGGAAGGGCGCAATACCTGCAGCCCCCAGGCCACATGTGGCCCTCTAGATCCTCGTGTGCCGCCCTTTGACTGAGTCCATTAATGAAGGGGACTTGTTCTGTGAAGTTTGGATTCTGTGAGTGCTCCCCAAAACTTTGTCCTGGGCTCTCTTCCCCTTTCTCTCTCTGCTGTTCTACTTGGTCCCCTCATCAATTCCCCTGGGTTCAGCGATCATTTCTGGGTAGATGACTCCCAGCTCTATTACTCAAGCCTAATCTCTCCTTCCCCCTAGCATCACATCACCAACAACTTGGACATTTCAGAGTGGATGTCCCAAAAGCCTCTTTCACTCGTTCTTGTGAAGCAGAGCTCATGATCTTTCCCCCAAATTCTCCCATCTCCCAGACCTCCCTTTTCCTGGTGAAGGCCCTGTCCACCTTCTGCCACCCAGGTTCACAACTGTGTTGTTATTCTCCACCTAGTTGCCAAAATCTTGTAGTTTTCTTCACTACAGAATCTCTCACATATATCCATTCTCTCCATTTACACAGCCACCACCTTACTCTGGGCCTTCTCCTCTCTGTCCTTGGCTATTGCTATAGGTTTCTATGCTAGTGAGCTTGCTAGATAGATAGATAGACTGGCTGACAGACAGGTAATCTCTTTGGAATCTCACCACAACCGATAGGGTAGGTACTACCGATATTATTTCCCACATTTTAAAGAAAAAGAAACCGAGTCTTAGAGAGGAAAAGGGATTTGTCTGAGGTCACAAAAGTAGAAGGAGGTAGAGACACGAATGAAACTCTGACTCCAGACCATTTTTCCCTGCACCAGGCTGGCCCATACACAAAGGGGGGAGGTCTTCCTGCCTCCAATCTGGCCCACGATCCCCTGCGTCACACTGCTTCTTCTCCTTAGGCTGTTGCTAAACATGGAATGTGCATGAGAGAATGACGGAAGGGACCTGGCAGTTTTAACTTGTTCACTTTGGGTATAAAAAACCCTGAAGTCTAGCAAGTTTAAAAGTGCCTCTCAAAGCCTGAAGTAGGAGCCAAGTCTCTGAGTCTAGTCCTTTCTCCACTATAGTCTGAGCCTCAGTTTCTTCATCTGTAATATGAGGGACGGGAGGAAGGCATTTTGCAGAGCTCGTATTACATAAGTGTACGTTTTTATTAAGCTCCAGCACGATGCCCCCTCTCTCTGCCTTTCCCTGCCCACGGCGCCTTGGTTCCTTCACCTTACATAAGTGCCACTCTTTCTTCAAGACTTTGCTGAAACGTCATCTCTTCTGTTGTGTGCGACTTGTCTTTCTTCGAGTTTGGCAACAGAAACTGCCTCTCCGCTCCTGTACAACACCGTCTATCCCACTCACTTGGCATCAGCCTATGCCCGTTCTATTGTTAGTTATCCTTTTGTTTCTGTTTTTTTGGGGGCGCATTTTTTGGTTAGGCAGTGGGATTAAGTGACTTGCCCAGGGTCACATAGCTAGTAAGTGTCAAGTATCTGAGGCTGGATTTGAACTCAAGTCCTTCTGACTGTAAGGCCAGAGCCCTATCCACTGTGCCACCTAGCTGCCCCTGGTTACCCTTTTGTAAGCACTTAGATGTTCTGGATGCCAGGTTCCTTTCAAGGCAACGAGCGTTTATTAAGCACCTAAGACGTGCAAGGTTCTGTGCTCGGTCCTGGGGAGAGAAAGACAAAATGAAATGGCTCTTGTCCTGAAAGAACTTCTATTTCTCTGGAGGTAAAGACAGAACCGCAGAGTAAACCACAAGCCCGTGGCGTACATGTGATATTAGATGAGAAGGGTCGCCCCAGGCCTGGAGGAGACGGTGGCACGTGCTGGAAGTGAGCCTTGACAGGTTCAGGTTTGGGATTCCAAGAGCCAGAGAGGTGGGGAAAGAATGCATGCTAGACCTGGGGGCCAGTCTGCAAAGGCAGGTCTCCTGACTGCGAATGTGGCACACTTCTCTTGGTACTCCTGTAGCTATGGGACAGTGGACAAGTGATTCTTGGAGTCTGTATTTCTTAATCAATCAATAAGCATTTATTATATGTTTACTGTGTTCCAGGCACTGTGCTAGAGGTATAAGGAAAAGCAAAAGCATCCCTTCAAAGGGTTAGTAATATTTGTCCTGATGGATTGAGGATAAGTTAAGAATGTATGAAGAGTTCAGTAGAAACTATAAACTATTTTGTATAATTGTTACCATGATTATAACTATAACTATCATCATCCTACTATAATTAACATCATCCTGGCCAGCAAGGTGGCACAGTGCCTAGAGCACTGCCCTGGAGTCAGTAGGACCTAAGTTCAAATCTGGCCTCAGCCACTTACTTACTAGCTGTGTGACCCTGGGCAAGTCACTTAACCCTGTTAACCCTGTTTACCTCAGTTCTTTATTTGTAAAATGAGCTGGAGAAGGAAATGGCGAACCGCTCCAGTATCTTTGACAAAAAGCCCCAGTCAGTGTCCTGGAGAGTTGGACATGACTGCAAGTTAAACGGCATACTCATAGATGTACAGTTTTAAAAAATCATATTCATTCTCTAATTTTAAAGTTAGTGATGTTTCTACCGCACAGTGATGCCTCAAAAATCCACAGACTTAAATTACTGATGTTTTGATTTAAAATGGTATTTGAAATGTACGTGTGGGAGAAACAATATATTGGAAGAGTCTGACAATTAATGAAGAAGCTGGACTATAATTACAATGCAGTTAGTTATAGCTTTTAAATGCATTATTTCTTTTTACACCACTTCATTTCCATTTGCAGTAGAGAAGTACCCCTAAACAAAACAAAGTGATATGTTTACCATATTATATATACCTCATTCTGCCCCCCAATGTCTACCAAATCTCTCCTTCTTAGTCTTTTGGAGTCAAGATTTCCCATTTGAATCAGAGTTCTGAAATACTTTAGTGGTGTTTGCTTTAATGGTTCCTGGTTCTGCTTTTTTCACTCTGCTTAAATCTTACACTCTCTGAATTCTTCAAATCCATCATTTATTGAGTACAATAATGTTTCAATGTTCCATTTCACAAATTCTTTCACCACTGCCCAATCGATATGTACTGAATTAATTTCCATTTTTTTTTGCTACCGCAAATAATGCTACACATATTTTTTTTTACATATTTATAACCTGATCTCTCGAAGGTGGTACTGCTACGTCCAAAGATATGAACAACACGTTGACTTTTGTTGCGTGGTTCCAAATTACTTTACAGAGTGATTAGATCAACTCACAGATCTTCTAGACCTATCTTTCCACAGCCTCTCCAGCATTAGTTCCATTTTTATCTTTGCTAGTTTTCAAGATGTGAGGGGAAACATGGGTTTTAATTTGCATTTCTTCGATCATTAGTTATTGAAGCATTTTTAAAACTATGGCTGATGATCCATTTGCATTCCTTTTTCTGAAAACTGCTTGTCCATAGATCATCTTTGGGGGGACTGGCTTTTTTCTCAGAAATACCAATGCATGATATTTCAGCATTTGTTTGATACTTTCATTTTGGTTGGTTATGTCCTATCCTCTTTTGGGGTTAATACAAGAGTTTAGCAGTACTACAAAGATTTGCACTACCTCGGAGTTGTGCATTTAAAGTCTTGGTGCCTCATCATTGCACTGGGAAGTTAATTTTTATGAACTTTTGGAGAGTAGAAGATGTTTCTCTTGAAGTAGATGCAGTATAATGTATAAGCAGAAAGTTAATGCAGGCATTATTCCCCGACCAGATACTGAACAGGCATTCAGTCTTCAAGAAAGAGCTCAAGTATAAAACTCACTGATGACTTTTCCTTTCCTTTTGTGTTTTGTTTTTCAATTAATTTTCTCTCTTTCCCATCCCCATTCAAAAGAAAAAGAAAGCAAAACAAAACCCCTGTGACAGATGTACATAGATCCAGCAAAACAAGTTCCCACTTGGCCATGTTGAAAAAAATATGTCTGAATCTGCATAGTGAGTCTGTCATCTCTTGGTCAAGAAATAGGTAGCATGTTTCATTGCGAGTTTTTTGGACTCCAGGTTGGTCATTGCATTGGTAAGTGTTCCTAAGTCTTTCAGAATTGTTTGTCTTTACAATGTTGTCATATGATTTTTTTCTCCTTTTTCTTCTCACTTTGCTTTGTATCAGTTGGTGCAAGTTTTCTCAGGTGTTTTTAAAAACCATCCCTTTCATCATTTCTTACAGCACAATAGCATTCCATCACATTCCTTTACCACAATTTGTTCAGTAATTCCCTAATCAGTGGGCACTCTCTTAGTTTAAAATTCTTTGCTACCCACCAAAAGAGCGCCTGTAAATAATAACAGGTTCTTTTTTGATCTGTTTGAGATACAGAGCTAGGAATGATATTGATGGATCAAAGGGACTCAATTTAGCTTGGTGGCATAGTGGATAGAGTATTGGACATGGAGTCAGAAAGACCAGAATTCCAATCCTGCCCTTGATGCTAGCTGCGTGACCTAGGACAAGTTACCTAACTTCTCTCAGCCTCTGTTTTCTCCTCTGTAAAACAGGGGTAATAATAGCATCCATTTCACAGGATTGTTGTAAGGATCAAGTGAGATTGTGTACATACACAGACCTAGATTTTGATGAGTGTGAATAATGAATCCCATGTAGTGGTCAATTTATTGAATTTGACCTCTTCAGAGTTAACAATGATAAATAAAATATTGTAATTACTTCTAGCCCAATGGAAATGTGCAATGCGAATTCAAAGAAATGAACTATTTCCCAGGCTGCATTATTTGCACTAATCAGGATCGAGCTGTAACTGGCAGAATAGTTGCAAACGGTTTTCCAGAATGGCTGCACCAGTCCACAGCTCTAACAGTGCATTAACGTACCTATTTTCCCACAGCACCTCCAGCATTTTTCATTTTCCTTTTCTTTCCCCCTTTTTTTCTAATCTGATGGGTCTGAGGCAGAGTCTCAGAGTTGCTTTAATTTTCATTTCCCTCATTTTTAGTGATTCAGAGCATTTTAAAAATACAACTATTGACCGCTTGGATTTCTTCCTAGGAAACTACCTACTCATATGCTTTGACTATTGGGGGATGATCGTTATTCTGACAAATCTGAATCCATTTGAAAATGAAGTCAGTTACCTAAACCTCTTAGGACTGCTGTCTAGAATCCCTACTTAGTGTTTTGGTATTGAAAATGAAGAACTGTTATTCTGGTTGTAAGCTAATGTGGGAAATACAATCCCTTTTCCTCCGCGGGCTCTTTTGCAGTGCATTCCCTACAGTGTCTTCTGATGATCTTATTCTGAATAAATCTAAAGAAAGAACTTGGGCAGCAGGTGACAAACCAGTATTGATGCTTTCTAAAGACATGCTGGGTGGGTGAGAGGTGCTGCTTGTGAATTCAGCTGTCATCAGTAGCCATACAAATAGGATGGGATATACACCTGGGAGGATGTCTACAAGAGAGCGTCACTTGTCACCAAGTCCCTGGTGGAGGGAGGGAAGTGTTCTCATCTCGCCAGAAGTGGCAGCCAGTCATCTTCTCTCAAATGAGCCCAGAGCAGTTCCTGTCTGTTACGCTGCTGTGAGAAGCTCTTGTGTATTAGGTCAGCAGGTTTGCATCCTGCTTTTTGCCATTGAATAAATCCACAAAAATGTCTGTGAGAACCATGTGACCTTGAGCAAGTCTTTTCCCCTCTTAGGCTTCAGTTTTCTCTTCTGTAAGATGAGGTCACACTTGAGGACCACCTAGATCCATTCTAGTCCGACTTCTTTTATCCTTCTGGTCCCTGGGGAGTTCTGTAGAAGTCAAAAAGCACTATAGCTGGTGGGAAATGGGGAGCTCCTTTTGTGTATTTCAGAAGTCTGTATAATCCCACCATTCCTCTGGGCTGTCTACCTGTTTCATCCTCCAAGTTTGGTAATAGTCAGGGCTATCAGAAGAATGTAATGTCTAGGGGCCCACGTCTGGTTACTGTGCCACATTTGCAACACAAAAGGCTGCTTTGCAATCAGCCACCACCATGGAAAGGCCAAGATGGTGGGTGAGAGGTCGAAGAGGGACCATTCACTGACTGCAGTTTTGCCAAAGCCCAGCCCTGCCTAGCTTCTCATTCCTTCATTCCTTCATTCCTTCCTTCATTCATTCATTCACCAGGCAGTCACTTCATCAAGTGGCCGCTCCTTGCCAGACACTGTGTTACTCCCAGACAAAATGAGAGGGACTCCAAGTCCTCATCTTCAGGTACTTTTTTAATCTAATTGGGGTGATGAGACACACCTGCAGACCATGACAGGGATGTATTCTGAAAGCATGAAAGGCGTTCAGAAGAGATGAAGACCAAAGTGGCTTGGCCCAGTCAGGGAAGGCTTCCTGGAAGAGGCAGGCACGAGCTGGTTCATAAGGTATCCTGTGGTTAGGCAGAGAGGAGAGAGGAGCATATAGCTAGGGTTTTTGTTAAAGTAAGGTTGTATTTTGGTAAAGTAAGGATTCTGGACCTAGTCAGTTCAGTACCATAGCCCCTTCTGAGTATGGTAGTAATATCACAAGATGTGGTTCAGAAGACGTGGCTCCAATTTTGTCTCGGCTGTTTCTTAGCTCTGTGGCCTGGGAACGGTTGCTGCATCCTTCTTGAGTATGTTTCCCTGTCATTAAAATGAAGACGTGGGATGGGGGTAAGCAGGCTACCACCCACAGCACAAAGGATGTCTGACAAATGTGGGACTGGGGGTGGGGGTTGGGAGCAACTAATGGATGGCTCACGTGCATGTGCACAACGTCCAAGGTAGGGGAAGACAACTCCAGTTTGTGGCAGGCCTGTGGGGGAATGCAGATAAAATTCACGTATGGTAAGTCAGCACAGATAGGCAGCAGTCCGCTGGGAGGAACACTGCACTGATGCAGTCAGAGTTGCAGCAAAGCCTTGGTACTTGCATTATCTGCTTCCCAAGGCTAATGCAGGGAGGCTTTGTAAAATTTAAAGGGCTGTATACTTTGAGTTGGAGTTAAAGTGCCCCTTGAGACCTGTCATTTACTTGATAGAAGAAGCTCCTTATTGAGGGCACTCCCCCTCCCTTTGCATATAAGGAACAAGTTCACAATCCTCGAGTGTCTGGGGACACTTTGAGGTGAAGTGTCTTACCTGGGGTCCCGTAGTATGTGTGGGAGAGGTACCTTGAACCCAGGTCTTTCTCTGTCCACAATTTAGTGATGCTTTATGAGTTATTGTATATTGTAATTTATATCAGGAGTGTTGAAAAAGGCACACACCAAGTAACATCACACCGAAAAGGATTTGCTGTACCTTAAAAGGAAATGACTTGTTACCGACGTAGGCGTAATTTTTAAATCGGTTTTCTGTGTGCCATCAGATGATTGTGTTAGTAGAACAAATATCAAAGTGGTATTAAATTAGGTAAGTAGAAATAGGCCACTAAAACAGTTCTAACGTGACCAGGCCAGAAATTGACCAATGAGAAATAGAACAGGCGACTCTCACAGTTTCCTAGCGAGCGAGTGCATGCACCTACACAGTGTTTACAAGCTCAGAGAACCCTCCTTCCAGCTCCCACTCTTATGCACGAGTCTGACCCTGAGTCAGTGAGACTAGGTCTCCATCCACCTCCTTCCCACCCTGAGGTACTGGACCTTCAGGGTTTGGAGAAGATTTTGTAAAGCTATTGGCTCAAGTCCTGGTCTGTTGTGTTCCCACTTTAATCACTGTGATCATCAGCCTTTCACTGAGCCACCTAATGTCAGTTAGCTTTTACAAAGGGATACTTACTTCAAAGATACAACAATAGGGCACAAAGACTCTTCAAGATTTTCTGTATAAGATAATTATTAATAGAAAATGTTGTTACAAGAACAGAATTTACTGTGCTGGTAACAGGGAACTACCCCGAGAATGTCACTGAGCAGAGAGTAAGCCGCCTGCCTTTTCTAAGCTGGAGTTAGAAAACAAATGAGAGAGAGAGAGAGAGAGAGAGAGCGCGCGCGAGTGGTCCCTGGGAGGTCCCTGTAGCGTCCACCCTGACCACATGGAGATGGGAGGTCTCTCCAAACCCCAGGTTTTTGTTTTTCTTTTCTTTTCTTTTTTTTCTTTTTTTTTTTTTGGCTAGGTTAAGTGACTTGCCCGGGGTCAGACAGCTAGTAAGTGTTATGTGTCTGAGGTCAGATTTGAACTCAGGTCCTCCTGAATCCAGGGTGGGTGCTCTATCCACTGCACCACCTAGCTACCCCTCCAACCCCACGTTCTTACAAGGAGGAGAATCTGATCTTCCCCAAGTTGACTACTTTCTGAAGTGGCGTGAAATCCTTGTAACAGAGATAGCGTACCACTTTTCACAATTTTGGAGTTTATTGAATCAGATTTTGGTCATTGTGAATATGGCTTCATTAAGCTCCCATCGTGCAGATAGATATTCATTCAGTCATGCTAGAGCAGGGGTGGGGAACCTGCAGCCTCGAGGCCACATGGGGCCCTCTAGGTCCTTAAGTGCAGTCGTTCCTGAGGGCCACATATGGCCTCCAGGCCAGGGTCCCCACCCCTGCCCTCGAGGCTTAATAGACTTCCAGCAAAACTCTGCTTACTGGTTGCCTTTTTTGGGGACAACATTGCCGTGCCTGCAACAGTCTCCTTCCCAAACCCACTTTTTGGGTCGTGTGGAAGTCCCTTTCTTCTTTCAAGGCTTGGCACAGGTGGCATTTACTCCATGAAACCTTTCCTGCCTTCTCACACAGCCCTAGCATGAAGTGATCATTTTTGTCCTGAGATTTCTCAAAATCCTCTTCTTTGGCTTAGCCCTCATCTCACTTAACCTTTGTATCTCAAGTCTTGTGTACACGATTTTCCCCTCCATGAGATTAATAATAGAGGGTCTTAATAGCAGGGTCTCTGTGCTACCTGGGAATGCCCAAACCTAATGTCTAACAAATATTGGATAAATATGAAAGCGGTTTTGAACTTTATGGCTACTGCAGTGCAACCAGTTTTATAAAATAATAATTGAAAAGTCATTTCCTAATGAAAGTGAAGCATTAATTAGAAATGGGTCTTTAAAGAATACTTTCTTTGTTTTTAAGTAGGAAAGAATGCCAGTCTGCATCACGTGAATTTGTGTCTGTTGGACTCATTTTGCTTCAGCAGATTAGTACTAGACAGCTCAGCACAGTGAACAGCAGCAGGCTGGTCTTCAGTCACAAAGACATGGGTTTCAGGACGGCCTCTGACTCAGGATGGCTTTCCGCTCCCGGGCAGGTCTTTTAAACTCTCAGTGAGCCAGGCAACTTTTTAAGTTTATAAATTGTAGAGCAGCTGTATGACTGATTTGGTAGAGGGGATTTCCTCACCCTGAGTTCCCCGCATCAGTAAAATAAAAACTAAAGATCTGCCCCACCCCAAGAAAAAAACATGTTCTGATGTGTGCAGTTCATATTGATAGTTACCATTTTGATGAGACTTTATCTCTTCCCTCCCCTGCCCCCCCCCCGCATTTCAGAGTTTTGTAGCTGAACAAAAGTCAATGGGTTTTTTTTCTAGGAATAGTGGAAGAATACCAGCTTCCCTACTATGACCTGGTACCCAGTGATCCCTCCTTTGAAGCTATGAGGGAGATCGTGTGCATCCAAAAACTCCGTCCCTCCGTTCCCGACAGGTGGAATAGTGATGAGGTAGGAAGGAAGGCCCGCTCTTTGGGTGAGACCACAGTGACATCTGGTCAATTTTGTGCAGAAAGTCTGTTGTTGAACTGCTAGTTCTCACTGCAGGGCTTCTTTTTAAGAGATACTGGCAGTGGAGCAGAGCACAGGTACGTGGGGAGAGCCAAAGCCCAGAGTGTTAGCTGTCTGTTTAATTTTCTGAAGTTAATGTTGCTCTTTCTCAGAGATATTGACCCGTTACATCACTGCTAAATAAACCTGATGTTTTATTTCTTATATCTTCTCAGCTACATCAAGGTTATTTCCATGAGTGATTTTTTTTAATATATTGGTTTTACCAATGATTCTCTCCCCACCCACACACACAGAAGTGATTTCACCATTTCTGTGATCCAAGATATCAGCATGCCAGCAGGTGAAGCTTTCTACTTATTATCCCATCGATATGCAAAAATTCAGAAGCGCTGTGGTAGACATGACAAGCAAAAGTACAAGAAGCGGACCGGATTAGCCTTTGCTAACAGCATGAAATGGGAAAGGGTTGTCCGAAAGGTGTTTCGGTAGAGGGGGGTGGTCGTTTGTCAGGTAGGACAAGGTGTGAATTCCTTTCTGGTATTGATGGGATCGGATGGTCACTGCCTCCCTTCTGTCTCTCAGACCCTATGATCCTTTGAGTGGTCAGTTCAGTAAGATCTGAAAACTGGCAGGGAAAAGGAAGGTGAGAGAGACAAGTCAAGTGGAGCTTTGGGATTAGCATGAATTGTCCCGGAGAAGCTGTTTGTGTGACTTTGGTGTTGCCATCCCTGTTTGGAGGCTGTGCTTTCCCGGTTGAGCAGCATCCTTTCCCCGTTCCGGGATTCACTTTTCTTGGCTCTGCACAATGCATCCTTTCCTAGTTTGGCCATCTTGGTGGTGGTGGCGGCTGGATACTTAACACACACCAACACGAACCCTCATGCATTTTCTGTGTCTGCGTGTGTCTCGATGATAGACTAGATAGAAGAACTTGCTGTTAATCAACAATTCTTCAGGGAAAAGCATGGGTTTTTCTTTTTTATTATTATTATGAAAGGACCTCTATGTATTCCCTTATCCCATCTTGGCATGTCACTTCTGTACAGTTTCTGAAATGCATAGTGATATGCATACTTTGCAAACAGGAGGTCTGAGATGAAGTCTAGGAAAAGTGTTGAATTCAAAATCACAGACTTTGGAAGTTAAAAGAGATTTCAGCAGCCATCTGGTCTGACCCACACCCCTCACAGAATGCCCCACTCTGGCATGTCCAACAGATGACCATCCAGGCGCTCTGCACTCTTCCACCAAGGATTTCTATTTAAGTGAGAAGACTCGTAATTGATATAGCACATGTGAGCATGGGAGACCAAGCCTGTGATTCTAGGAAGGGGTCCTTAATCTTGTTAAATAGTACAGTTTAACATGGTGTTTGTAGCAGGCAGCTGTACTTTGGGAAGTTGATTCTCTCTTTGTGTGATAGGCAATTAGGCAAAAAGAGTTAAACTTAGAAAGTGTCATAAAGAACCTGGGAGTGTGCCGTTGGACCAAACAAATCCCCGGGATATTTTTTATTTGTTTTACGCTGTGTTGCAAAACCACCTCTGTGACATGAGAGCTCTGCGTTAATCCATTAATCTTGAATCACAGTGGAGCTGAGGATCTTTGTGCCTGTACAGTTTAAAGGAGAAATATCTTTTTTGTACCCAAACTTCCAAGAGTCTCAGAAGCAACCCTGTGGATCATAGCACATTCTCCTAATTGTGTTCTAATATTCCCATTTCTTTCCCCACAGTGTCTACGGCGGATGGGGAGGCTCATGATAGAATGCTGGGCCCACAAACCTTCTTGCCGTCTCACAGCCCTTCGGGTTAAAAAAACCCTTGCCAAAATGTCAGAGTCGCAGGACACACCAAACTCTAATTGAAGGGAGAAAGGAAACCTCTGGAGATGGCCAGCACAGGTTTTTCCTGTTGTTGGCCAAGCAGATGAGGTTGAAGATGCTTCCTTCTGTAGGACAGATGCTGAATTGCATCTCTCCCGTGAGCAGGATCAGGCCACTTGCTCTTAGGGAGAAAGAACTCTGGACAAAGAGCGGCTCAGCCAATCCCAGGCTCGAAGGGCCTGTTAGCAGGAGGGAGACCTCTTGGGTAACTGATAACAAAAATTATACATGTTCCTTTCTGGGAAAGCCTTGCATTGAGGGATTTTAAAGAAAAAAATACTTTAATCTATTTTCAAAATAAAACACACTGTGGGCAGCCAGGTGGCACTTGACACTTACTAGCTGTGTGACCCTGGGCAAGTCACTTAACACCGTTGCCTAGAAAAAAAAATAATAATAAAAATCTAAAACTAAAACACACTGTAAACACACATACTGCTGCAGTCCAAACAAAACACAAATGACAGCTACCCAGAAATGGTGCTTGAAGGGAAAACCAGAATCACTTTCTTTTCTGTTTGTGAGAACGTGGCATTCCAGGCAAACCCCAAGGATCTGTGATGTTTGAGAAGTTTTGATATATCTGAGAAGCCCCCTGTCTCCCGCCTCCAAAGTCCACTTTGCCTAGCGCCAGATGTGGCAGTTGCCCTCGACGAGGTCAGTGTCCTCTTGAGCATTACTAGCCAATGGCTGATGACTGACCGTGCTTTCCCATAATCTGCAGGTGGTCTTTGGCGATTTCACAGAAGATGAAACCATAGCACCAATGCAGTTTGTAAGAATTGAATCAGAGTAAGTAAGCAGCATTGTTATTGTTCAGAAACTCCTCAGGTTTCTGATTCTGTTAGGCAATTACGAACAAAAGATCGCCCTTTTCATTAAACTCAAACATTTTTTGCTTTTTTCTTAAATCTTCATTGTGTAAGTGACTGAAGACTTGAGCACAAATTGAGTTCTCCGTGCAGGAAAGATCAGTAGTAAGTGAGAAAGACTGTCACCCAGTTGGGATGAAGAGAAGGTGCATTGGAAGGGAGATTTTGCTCTTTGTGGTTGAGTAGGTAAAGCAAGGATGCTGTTTGTGTATATGTGTATAAGAGCTGAACCTAGAAGCACAAGAGGGATCGTCTTGCATGGTGCATTTCTTAGCAATAATGGGAGCGGGTGGCTAGGGAGGGATTGGTGGGGTTAAATTCATGGTATTCTAACTAGAAATATGGAAATACAGGCTTCCAAAGGGACAGCAGAGAGCTTAGGACTGTCCCCACGTAGGATGGCTGCTGGGATTTGTTTCTTTGGTGCATGTGTACTGTTTCTACATCCCCGGGGATATTAGAGTTTTTCACTTCACATTCAAAATATTGACCTGGTTTGTTTTGTTTTAATTGTTTCAATCTGTTGAGGTGTGGTTCACTTTTTAATTTCTTCCTAAAGCATTTTTCTATTTACAAATCATCTCTTCAGCTTTTGGGTTTTTAGCTTTTGAGTTCCATGGATAATGTCATTATCAGAGCCAGTACTCCTCAGGAAAAAAACAAAACAACAACAATAGAGCTTTTTAAAATGTAGTTTTAGCCATCCTGCTCAAGTCCTCGGAATTCTGTATTTCCATGATTTTCTTAGAAAGAATATTTGGGAGAAATGGTCAGTTTCTGGGGTTTTAGCCATCTTTTAAGGCAGCCATCCCAAGAAGCTCTGGGGAACAGTGTGAAATCATGCATTTCTGCTCTTGAGCTCTTCACTGGGGTTTTCACAGAGAAAGATGTGTAAAAACTTGACAACTGCTTAAAAGAATCAAAGGAATTTTTTTTTCTGCAGCTGGTGATTTATTTCCAAGAAATAAAGCCTCCAGAAGTAGCTGTGAGGTCTTCTTCGATGCTGGTGGCATTGTGCTGTGTCCAGTATTTTGTAATTCATTGTTCTGGGCTTTCCGTCCAGCTCACAGCTGGACAGAAGTACTTTTCACTGCTGATGCTTTTCTTCCTTTTTTGTTTTTGAATAAAATCTGAGATCTTAATGCTGCTTTAGTCATAACTAAAATACATTCAGTAGAAACTATAGTGCCCGATGTTAGCGGAAAATAAAGTTCCTTTTCCTTTTTTTTTTTGTAAAAGTATTATGATATTAATTAGGTGCTAAAGACCAATGAGAGCTTACCTTATGGAAAAGTTTATAAGAGCCATTTATCAATAATTCTTTCCCTTTGTTACAACAACTATATTTACAGGAATTGTTTTTAAAAATCAATCTACTTACAAAACCCTATAGTTTAGAATATTTTTATTTTTATGAAAGATCTAGTAGCTGGGAAAATGTTATACAGAGGAAGAGGGAATACCCTGGAAAATGTTTCTATCAGTTGATTGTTTACGTTCAGAATTATTCTTAATTACAAGCAATTTAAACTTTCTCTTCCTCCCTCAAAAGAAGAGATTCTAGGATATCAATTGGTACATAATGTAAAGTTTGTTTGTATGTTAAGATGTTCGGGTTTATGTCTGTATATGGATGTGTACATATATGTATGCATGTGTATGTGTGTATATATGTTATATATATATACATACACTTACACACGCACACACACACATGCATATATATATGTATATGAAATGTTTAATTTGGAGTCTGGAATAACTCCAGTATGTAGATTAGGGAGTAAGATATTATGTATGATGAAGCACTAATTGAATCATAATATTTCTTTATGATAATACATCGATTGTTAAACTTTTAGTTGCAATTCTCCAGAAAGTTTATGAAGAGACAGACCTTTGGCCTTTCAGGAAGAACTAAACAAAACCGTAACACCAGAAGCCTTGACCGTCCCTTCTGCAGTGCCTGAGGGAGGCAGCCTCGTATAGTACAGTGCTCACCCATTCTGTTTACAATGCCCAGGTCAACTTTGTTGCATCACAATTGCAACTAGTCAGGGATGATAACTGCATTTCAGTAACTGAAGGCCCTTTTCCTGTATGTTCAATTACAAACAGAAATGTTTTATGTGCTGAGTATTTTCCGTACGCTTTTTGATCGAAGGGTATGTGCAAAGGTACTAAGGGAAGGGTGATTTTGAAAACTTGATGATTTCATCAAAGTTACAGGTGTATAGGGAATTCAGCGGTGTAGAAGTTGCAATCTGCGAAAGGACGTCGGCAGAGGTGACATTTAGCACCTGTGATTTCTCCTGTAATAGACAATGCCATTTCTTTTGGAGAAAACTTGGTGGCTTTGTAATGGTGGTTTTTTTTTTTAATTTGTTTTGAAAGAAGACTCATTTGTATTCTTTTGGAGAACCAGTGCCTTAATGAATCTGTATAATATACTGTAATTATTCAGAAATAGGGAAGAAACAGTTATACCGTATTTGGTACAAATGGTATATGGTTTTGTTTTAACGTTCCCCCTAAATAAAATGGCCTCATTCTCTCCATGGAAAGAATCTTCTGTTATCTTTGGTTCTGACTTCTCTTATTGTATCATATTTTTATGTGACATATTTTTTACACACTCAATGGTTGATTGAAAGGATTGATTGAAGGGAGAGGGTAACCGATGCAAAGTTTCATTTTCCTTACAAAGAGGTATTGAAAATTTGTGCCTGGTGTAATTAAGAGGCCAGTGGGCTATTGATGATTGAAATGGGGATGGGTTTTCAGGTTGTACATGAAAATGAACAGCATTTGTGGGAGAAAATATTGGAATTTAGTATGACATTTGTGTTCATCAGTATCAGAAATTTTAGTTCTTGAAATTCTGAGCAAAAAAAAATCCCTTAAAAGGAGGCAGTGTTGTACAGAAGAAAGAATACTTCCTTTGGAGAGAGAGGGCTTGGATCCAGATCCTAGCTCTGGAGGTTGCGGGTAAGTGAAGGTTGACATGGAGGGTAGAAGGAAGGGCCAAGCCCATGGTATCTTCAGGACCTGAGCAATAGGAAGGCAGAGGAGAGGCTTAGCGCAGTAGCCTTGCCTTGGTGTCCCCTTCCCTTTCCATACCCTGGTCCTGGGATGTATGCCTCTGACTGGGTCGTTTCCCTCCTTTGTCTCCAGGGCAATGACAGTGCACAGGGGTCAGACGGTTGCCTCTTTCACAGCCAAAGGTGAGACTCTGGGGCCTGGAAGGAGAGAGGGGCTGGGGTAAAGGGGCCAAGCAAAAAGGAGGGTATATGACTCTGGGCTGAGGATTGGATGGGTGGTGAGGCAGGCCCTTCAGAATGTTGAGAGGCTGGGGGGCGGAGCCAAGATGGCAGAGTGACAGCAGTGACTTGCTTGAGCTCTCCTCCAAACCCCTCCAAATACTCATAAAAAATGGCTCTAAACAAATTCTGAAGCCGCAGAACCCACAAAAAGACAGAGTGAAACAAATTTCCAGCCCAAGACAACCTGAATGATTCATCAGAAAGGTGCCGGGCTGGGCGCCCAGCGCGGCGTGGGTGCACAAGGCCGGGGTGGGCGCGCCGGCGGCAGCACACCTGGAGCAGGCCTCAGAGGACTGAATCTCGGGCAGCTGTGGAGGTTTCCAGGCTCCTCAGTCCACCAATGCCAAAGACAAATTAGAAGGTCAGTGGGAAAAGTCTGTTTCTGTCGGTGCCTGAGAAAGGAAGGCGGGGTTTCAGCTCCATTCCCCAAGAGCGTGGCCCTGTGGGGGGGCAGCTGCTTCCCGAGCTTCCGGCCCACAGACTGAGGGGGAATCCAGTGGCTGATCAGAGAGGGATTGCAGGGATCTCTTTGCCAGTGCTGAGGCAGGAATGTCTTCCTTTGCCCGTGTTTGGATCTGGGCCACAGTTCTGGGCAGCGGTGCTGGGGTGAGGAGGAGCGCTGGCGTGGTGGAGCTTGTAGTGATTGTGGAGAGGAGCCCCTCCTCACGGTTACAGGACAGAAAGGAGTACTTGTAGTGGCAGGCCAGGAAAGGAGTAAACACCTTGCCCCTTATCATACCACCTTGGAAGAAGTGAAAATTTACAGGTCCCTACAAGTATCTCTGAAAACAGCTGTACAAACCCCCCGAAGCTTGGGACAGTACATTCTCCA